TTTATACTATTTATTATCTTTGAAAATTCCCAATAAAAAGACTTCAGTAAAAGATTCTTTGACTGCCTCTGTAGCTAATCGGTTAAACGTGTTGTCTAGCCGTTCCTGGGTTCGAGTACCGGGAAAACAATAAATTGTTTGGGTTGGGAAAGGCACAGAAATGAACTACTTGACAAAACTGATCAGTGAAATGGACATAGAAATGTGTTCGCCCCATGTCCACGAAGGATTCTTATACTGGCCACCAAGATCTGCCGTGTGTACTAACTAATAGAGTTTAGATTAAGTTAATAATCGAAATTAATTCGAATTTAAAAATTCTACATACCTAAACGTTATCAGAATTTTGTAATATCCTCAGGCATCAGTAGCCATCACCATTAGGGTTTCTAAAATTACCTTTTTGATCAATACGAGTGAATCCTATTGTCTCTTTGAAACGGACATCTCTAAGGTTTCCTCGTAATTCATAAAGCAAAACTTTAACATATTTTCAACGAGTTGATAAATAACATTTCGATGATATTTTGCAAGAAAAGTCAAACAAACAAGGTCGGTGATGTAACTCCCTCTGACGAGGGATATTGATAACAAGGGTTCAAGCTGATAGCTTCGGAATACGAAAACGTCACAAATTATTATTATTACCTTAATACCGCTCAGAAAATCATGTCTTACGATAAACATTTACGCACTTTAAGGCAAACGATAATAAAATTCAAGTGTTTCAAATCCCGTTTCCTCCGTGGAGGAATTATTTAAAAGTAAGCCGTTTATAATTTTTTTGTAGCTAATACGTAAGACGCGCTGTCGAGGCTAAGCTTTTGATATTCTTAAATCTTTAGACCGATATAGACACATATGTAAATAAAACACTCTCAGAGTTCAAAATGCAAAATATCGGTTACGGTGAGACTACGGAGGCTGCAAAACATCCGAAACGTCGATCCGTATTTACAGTGATATTTAAGTAAGTTAAACTAATATATTTCTCTTTTTAAACCGTTAAAGTGTTTTATTTAAATGATACTACTCGCGTAAACTATAGACAGTATTTAAGTGTTTTATTTAAATATGTATGTACTACTCGCGTACTAGTAAACCAATTTTTAGTTAACAGCTCTTGTATCTGTGAACCTTGGTTCCAGCAGAACGGACGTCTCTTATTTCTACCACTTTAATGTCCAAATTTTCCAGACGATGGATAAAAGTATACTGGATTCAATGGAAATTTAACTTAAGAACGTTTTCAATTGATACATCTGGGCAAAGGAGCCCGTCCAGTTAACTTAAATTTTATTTAATTTAAGTTAGGCGTAAGAATTAATTGGTGGAGGCGAGTTGGAATCTCGCACAATGGTTCCGTATCGACGACGAGGCTAATAAATGTCGTGCAGAAATATGCAAGAAATTATATTTGTTATAATATATTCCCTGTATAATTATATAATTTTATAATTAAAGTGGAAAACGGGCAAAAAGTGTAATTTAGTATTTCTATATTCGTTTTGATTATTTGTAGCAACGACAAGACTTGTGAATATTTATACTCCAGCAATAGGAGTTCTAGAGAACAGCCTGGTGACAGACAGACAGCGAAGTACAAAAATAGAGCTAATTTATTTAGCTACAGAACGGTTAAAACAAAAATACAAAGAATTCCAAGTCCAGCAGAATTTTTTATGTGGAAAATTTTTCTTCGCTCATTACCAAGGTTCAAGTGGATTAAACATCCACTTGAACCATGAATATTCTTTATTTCGCCTAACCTTTTAAGAGTTCAACATATTAAAGCCTGCGTAGGAAGAGATCACAATCAAGTACACATATCGTGAAAATCAATCTAGGCTTTTTTCGGTACTCATGTATTTTGTATCTAATGGCGTTAATACTCTTAAATATAACCTTTTATGCCGAAGAGTCAGGTTCGCGAAAAATAATTATCTTGATATGTTCATAATGAAACACTTTTAACGGTTTAAAACGCGATTCTCACTACGGCACGACGTTTCGGATGCTTTCAGAAGATGTGGTGATGGTACGACTGAATATAGGTATAGAGGATGTCTCTTATGTTAAAGTAAAAAGTTGGTATTTGGCGAAACTATCTCGGTCCTTGCAAAACTGACTAACGATATCGTCTCGTTTCTAATAATGCCGTAAATTGATATATTGACACGGCGGGACTACAGAGCTCAAATGTGCCATACTACTCATCCAATTCAATTCAATTCATCGTCTTTATGAGTCCCATGAGTGTTTTTTTTTTACTTCTTTTATATGTGTAAATGGACACTGGACACTGAACGGCTGAATCGAATCGAAATATGTGTAAATATTAATACATATATTTAAACATTACAATGTTTTGCGTCCTACACTGAAACATTCATACATTGACAAGTAATTTCACAAAAATATGATGTAATAGGCCTTCGGGCCTTTTAAAACCATTGACAACTGTGCTATAATTTATTGATAGACGTTGGAACATACATTTTGCGTTTAATAAAACCCATATTATTATGAACTTTTGTCTTTTGTTTGGTTCCATACTAAAATAACAAACCTCTGTCTATCTGCCTTTTTAACTGACATAGATAGACAGTTGATATCTTAAAAATATATTTTAATAAAAACAGAATAAAACAAACATGTAATAAAGTCCAGTGAAATAAACTATGAAGCTTACAATAACTCCGATAGAGCTAAAAATTGGTATGAGTGAACAGAATACTAAATTAACTAAATTTAAAAAGCCCCCATCGACCCCTCTTGTACAATTTTTTTATAGATGGTGAGAGCTTGCAAAAGTAGAGCTTTCGCGTTTTGCAGGTAAACCGTGGGTTTTACAGGAAGCATTTTTTACTAAAATTGCAGTTCATCTAATTCTGTACAAAAATCTATCTTTTTCATAACTATTGCTTTATTCATGAAACAGGAGTTGAAAGAACTGAAAAAAATATTCTATATCATGACTGGACTACAAGGCAAGCCGCCCTAACCGCCTAAAAGAAGTTGCCAAGCATTAAGGTTCTCATTTCAAATCCTAGAGAAACATCACGTATGTTGGTAGAGCACGGCACAGAAGTGACTGTCCGCTTCCCGAACGACTGTGTGTTCGCCCTTTGCCCCACAGGGAGAAACGGGATTTTACAAGTCCTTTTTTAATTTTAAATTGTCGCGCGTCTCTGACTCCGTTACCCTCTTTGGTTTTTCATTTCATAATTTTCTAAGAAAATTTCCATCGCAGTTGATTCTGTAAAACCCTGGGTTTTACTGGCTAATTAATATCACTTGTACTTACGTTAATAGTTCCATTGAAATATGTACAAAGGCAATTAAGGTGTCGTGTGGCAGATTTCTGAAACCTAGGTCGTTTAGCGAATACTATACTTAGTACACAAGAAACTGGTATATCATTTGCTCTATTTTAAGCTAAAACTTATAAAAAATAAATATAACCTTTTTAATCCTAAAGCACAGAGAAGCATGGGTTTTTAATAGAAGTTGAAATGTCCCAGCCATATAACATCTAAACAAGATGCGCCAGCGGCCTATACCTATAAAATTTAACATTCGGAAATTCCACCATTCTGTTTTCCATCGGTAGTGAGTGGTTCGATTCAATTTGGAAAACCAATCGGGATTGTTTTGAATAGTGTATTTTATGATAAATAAATATAGATATAATTCAATGAATACTTTGGTATATTAAGAAATTACTTTTTATAAGCAGGCGTGGTCACGTGATCTCATGACGTCACAGCCACTATAATGTTTTTTTTTATTTTCTTCTCTTTCTTTCATGAACTAAGTAGTGGAGGAATTAATATTTACAAAAGACTGCTTTTGCTTGTCGTTGGCCTGGACCAATACGGTGTAAAAAGCTTTCACGAAAATAGAAAGGTGGACAATGGACACGACTGTCAATTTAATTTAAAGTTTTTAAGCCCGTTAGTGCAGACTGCAAATGTATAGAAGTCGGACGCTCAATTGAGCAACTGAGGTTTTTGATATGCGATGGAAAAATTGTTGCATATAAAAATATATACTGGTAGGTTGTAACGCTAAAGTTTCTCGTAAATAACAAGATGCCTTTACAAGTAAAACCACGATAGCCCAACTGCAGGGTTTTTTTTAATGAAGTGCAATGAGAGACGTTCCACGACTTTATTTCGTAATTCGTTCTTCTAAAAATCGCGCGAAGTCACATTTGACAACTTACATTTTTTTGACAAGCGTAGCTGACTTTTTGACATAAGACAGATACACACACAGCATAGATTATAGAGTAACATGACGGTTGAAACTTGACAATTTTAACTATAAATTACAATTTTAAATATCACACTCCCTTCCGCAACGACAAAGTTAAAATATGTATATAATACAAATTCAAATAATTCTACGTCCTTCAAATGGATTCCCCTTAATGTGACTTGTTTCTATATTCATAATGGTTATTCTTGTTTAATTTTGTAAAATTATAACTCTTCTAAGTATTTTATCATCTGTATTACTTACTATACAGATGTTATAAATATACTTAGATTTATGTAATGTGCTACGAGGGCGTACTAAAAACGTTGAACGAGTTTTTCTTCACGCCTCTTTATGTATCAATATAATGTTTGTAAAATATGGAAGAAATAAATAAACAGCTGCTTCGCTGTTGGACGCAATTTCGAATCCCGTTTGTACATTATATAAAGAGCAATTTTCTTTTTAATAAAAAAAAATTAAGTCTAATGCGGAAATCATTTTCACAAAATAGCAAGATGTAAATCGAAAACGACTTTAGTAAGTGTTTCGTTAATCACGTATCTAAATGTAAATGTTGAAAAAACATTGCGCCAGAGGTGCACGTAGTTCGTTAAAGGCGTTGAAGAGATTCGATGTGTACGAGCGAGATGTCGGTTTAAGCCCCGCCCGTGTCTACGAATTTTTTCAATCAAAAATACATTCTTAATTTAAAGTTTTATGTTTCTACTCACCCGATGGCTGACATGTGGATGGCTGAAGAGTTGCATTCTGCGTGCGTCTGCTGCGTAGGAGCTGGCGGATATATCGTTCATCATCGCGTCCCCGGCGTAGAACCCCGGAGCCTCGGTCAACGGACAAGCGTCAGCGCACCGAACGCTCGAGCCATCTGCGCCTTGGCTCACTGGAACAAGCGACCATTCGTGATTAGGGCAAAATATAGTAATTTTTCACCCACTCGGTGGTTTATTGACAACAATGTGTGGCTAATAACCAAGCGGTGGGTTCAATACCCACCACGTTCTTACGTTCCCTAATTTTCTTGAAACTTCGACTTCTGGAAATCTGGATATTAGATGGCAAGGGTTCATAGATGAAAAGTACGTCAAGTTAAGTCGTATTATTTCTCTATTCTAGTCTCTCTTAATCTGTGGACTTTGAATATCCAAAGGCAACAATAATACTTTTAATCTGTTAAGAAATGTTTCCCGTAAGAGACTGCTTGTGGAAAAGTTACAAGTAGGGTAGCCTGCCTAATGTACTATAATATAAGGTTTCGTACTACATTAGGTCTGTTTACTAGTAAAAATATATAGTATTGAAAGATTTTCGACATAAATAATAAATAAATAAATAATAAATATATATTAACTTTTTGGTGATGTCAAAATAATGTTACACAAAATTTTATACTTAGAAGTCTATATGCCGTATATTTTTTTAGTTTGACTGTTTTTTTTTTTGAAAGCATTAATATTGTTCACATGTTATTGCACCTTGACTCGAGGACTCGGTAGCTCAATTAGTAGAGCAACAGCACGGAACGCTGACGATGCCGGTTTAAGAACTGCCCGAGTCGAAAATTTTTTCAATTTATTTTCGATTTTTAAATTTTTTTGTTTTGTTAAATTAGTTGATACTTGAAGTAAATAAAAATCACTATTATGTAACACCACTTCTTCTAATTGACTAAATTATGAATGAGACAATAATAACTTATCAATTGCGTTATTTCAGAATTTATAAGTTCTGAAAACTACATTCATACGAAATAATTTGTGCGCAAAATATTGCGAGCAAATTTAGGTGAAACATTTGATTGTTGCTCCTTTAAAATTATTCAATATATAATGATTATAAAGGATGATAATGTTCGTGGATTATGTTATTAATTAATGATACTAATTATTCCATTAATGAATTAACAATGAATATAACAGACCGTTTTGGAGGCTCAACGGCTTTAAGCGTTACTTAGCGCTCTAAGTGCCTAGGTGTCCCGAGATCGAGTCTCGGGGAAAAATATAAGTTTCGTTTGGACATGGCACATAAATCTTGTAAGATATTTGTTAATAAAATCGATCAGTGAATAAGAAGCAGAATTAGGCGGCTTAGGGTTTCGCGTACGTTTTTTGTTGTATTTTAATTTTTAGTTTAGTTACGTCCCAGTGGTTAGGTCCCCCGGGGTATAACCACGTATACTAATATTATAAATGCGAAAGTAACTCTGTCTGTCTGTCCCGCTGTAACTCCGAAACTACTGAATTGATTTAAATGAAATTTGGTACGCAGATATTTTAGAGCCTGAGAAAGGGCAATGGGTACTTTTTAATGCCAAAAAAGGGTTGATTAGGGTTGAAAAAGGGGATGAAAGTTTGTATGAAAATTCGTGGTTTTGAAGCTAGAAATTGAAAAATTAAAAAATATATTTATCAAGTAATAAAGGCTTTACCGTATATGCCATTCATATTAACGCAAATAACAAGCTATTAGGGCTACAATAAATAAGGTTCTCCGTTTGATTAACAGCCGCGCCGTAACACGAAAAACTACACAAATATACTTTTCATTTACCTACACGCAGATTGCAGCTTAAATAAAATTTTGTGTACACAACTATATATAATAACGCAATGTACAAAAAACTATAATAAATTATCGTATATGACATTTATCTATCGCTCATCGAGTGACAGCACAGGAATCAATGCTTAGGTATGATATAAAGATATTAAACACGTTTTTATACAATAAATTGTGTAAGGCTTTCAGGGCCATCGTTAGCATATCACTGTTTTTCGACTTTAATCTCTTCGGGCAATAGAGGAGGAGCTAACATCTCCTCATGATGCCGTCCGCTCATCAGGCCGAAACGTCGAGCACCTCCTCTCGCTCACGTCGGCCGAATAGCCGAACAAAAACAATGATATTTTTATACAAATCGTATCTACTCACAGAAGACATAACAAATAATACTTCTTGTTTTTGTTTTACCACTAAGCACCTAATTAATTTGATTTAAGCTAACACAGTGGTTCCGGAAAGTAAATTTCGAAAGAATCTATTTAAACATTCGCGTTAATAATTTTCCTTGTATCCTGTGAATAACGAATCCGTTTGTCACGCTTTATTTTATATAATCTTATTATTTCTTGTGAAAACTATAAAATTTTGGACATTTCTTTACATAGCTGTAAGAAGTCCTCAATTATATTAAGGACTTCTTACAGCAGTAAACACTCTTAACGGTTAAAAATATAGTATTTTCCGGGAAGTGTTCAAAGTAAGTTAAATATACTTATATATTTCACGCTTTAAACCGTTACAAGTGTTTTATTTAAATTCTGCTTCTAACACTTCTCACTACTCAGTTTGTTATATTAGTATTTAATCATTGTTACTCGCCGCTCCGAGTCTATAGAAAGAAATGTAAATGTAACCGTGTTTACACATGCAGCCGACTTGATGTTCCGGCCGGGTTAATAACACATATAATAATTTAATCATCACCCACTGTCAAGTACCAAGGGTGAATTTGATTTAAAATTACGAAAACATTTCAACGATGAATTAATTTTCACTCTGTATTCGTTGAATGTTTAAATTGTTTCGATGATGCTAACAAAAAACAATTAATTTGTAACGCAGAGGGAACTGCTTTACGTAGTTCATGGAATAGCATAGTAAAATGTATATAATTAATCATTATTATAATGTCTGTACGTGAATGTTATAGGAATACCAAATTAAAGAAAGTTTACTTTTTCACGTAACGCATAAAACTTTTTGTCTTTTTCGCTGTTGTACTATTATAGATGTTAACAATAAGTTCACGATTATTGTAAACATCTCTTTATGGCACAGGTGTTATTTACTCAAAAGGTTTCTCAGATCAAAACTAGATAGATGTTAGTAACTGTTAATGAATATTGTTTTTTATTATCTATAATAATTCGAATGACGCTTACAAACAAACAAACAAAGTCTTCAGCTTTATATATTAGTATAGATTAAATTTGAAATTAAAGTAATAATAAGTTAACGAGTTCAATAGTATTAGATTTAGTAGTAAATATATTTGAATTTCATCATACATTTATATTTTATAATTCTTTAATAATCTCCAAACATTCAAATACCTACTCGCATGTTATCCGATTTGTTTATACCATTATGTGTTTTTTTTATGATAGAGGAGGCCAGACAAAGATGGAGTTCACGTAATGAAGGGGGTACATAACAATCCCACCCAGCCAACGCATATAGCGTTATCGACTAGTTTCGCTTTGGATATTCGGAAATCCACAGCCTGAAACTGAAACGAAGGAAACTTCACAGCTTTTTCACTTGTTGACGGCGGTTCGGAAAAGCGTTTGTAGAAAGGACTTTCTAAGACTCGAGTTCTGTAGTTTTAATCATCGCGTTTATTTAATTCTGCAATTCCATCGAAAACATGATTGTTCCACCCAAGTCGAATTTGTACTCTATTTTATCTGAAACTTAACATGAGCCAAGTTTCAGAGTTAATTAGGTATTGAGGTATCAAAATTCGGTACAGTCGCATGCAAAATCCGTTACCTCTTTTTATTCACATTTCATCTAAGTTATAATACTGGTAAGTTATTATTATTAAGTTATTATTATTATGCATTAAATTAAAATAGGACCAACTTGAGTCGTATCTATATTGTACCCATAGATAGATATTTTGCTTCGCTACATATTACATGTAATGCTTCCCATTTCTCAAACTATGTTTTTAATCTTTCACTTCAAGCTTGTAATAAATTTTCTTGTATTTTTTTTATTGTTCATCTTTAGCTACTTTTCGAATTCTACTCGTAGCATAAAATCTTAATAGATGTTAACTGCCAAGAAGTTCAATTAAATCTTACAATGTTAAAATAGTACATATTTAAGAGCGTTGTTATATTAAAACGGGTAAACAGTTTTTGCGCGTAACTGTACGTGTAATCCAACCATATGACGTTAATTGTCATTGTAATTTGAATATTAGTATTTGAATTTGTATACTGTGATTTAATGTTGTTAAATTGATACAAGTTAATGCAATGCAGAAAAGAGCATGAAATTAAAATATTTCATTTATAATAATAAATCTAACATTTTAGTTGGCATGGGGCGAACGTATTTCTGCGTCCGTTTCACTGATCCGTTAATCAGACTTCTGTGCCCTGCCCGATCGAAACAATTTTATGTTTCCCTGGGATTCGAACCCAGGACCTCTCGCGCTCAACGCAATGCTAGGCAATACGTTTTACCGTTTGGCTACAAAAACGGTCGTCTGAGTTATACTCGTAGTTATAACCTGTATCGCCCATTTTATCGTCTTTTAACTAAAACATGACTAAAATGATTGATAGCGGATTATCATTTCTTAGACATAATAACACATGTGCCAAGATCAACGTGGAAGTTCTGTAGAATTGACTAATTTGAATTTCTTTTAAATCAAAATAGGTGAAACTTCACAGATTACATTTTTGTACTTAATTCTATTTTCAGGTGACTAAATTGGAACCATATTAATTATAAAAAAAAACATTTCTTTAGTTCATACTTACATTGTATAATATTATAAAAATAAATCCTTTTTTAAATTAATTATGAAAAAGTGTATTTTTATAGCTAATAATACAATTTTAATTTTATACTAAATATAATTTAAGTTAGTCATTTCTAAAAATCATTTCAACTCGGTTTCTCTTAGCCGGTAAATGCAACAATAATAAAAAATATACACTTGAACTACAACTGAGTCATACAATAAAGAGATCTGAATACACAAAATACCTTTAATGGCAAAAACGGGGCATGTTTGCGACGCTGCAGTTTATTTTGCTAAAACGCAAATAATTTAACCCAATTACACACTTAAAGCCAGTTACTCATTAGATAAGATATAATTTTGTAATAAACAATTGCGTTAATGTTTGTTTGTTTTCGTAAACAAAAGACTAACCTAATACGTTCAACATTGGATAGGTTCCTTAACTAAGTTCGTAATTGCGAATGTTGTTAAAATGTATTTGACTATCGGAAATCGTGATGACAGTGATTAAATCTTTAAAAAAAAATTACGAGAATAACTAAAAATTGTTTCGATCCGTTTTTGTGTTTAAAATTATAATTAACCGCTCTTCTTTCTAATTAAAGTTTTAAAAACTTACCCAGTTTGCCGAATATGATACTCCAAAGTAAGAACGAGCCACTCAACCACACTAACACAAGTACAATCCAAGTTCGGAATTCAAATTTTCTCAACACTTGTGCGCGCCAAACTTTTTCAGCGTAGGGCGGGCGGACGTGTAGACGCGTTGACTTCCAAACGATAAAAGCGCTACTCGACGCCGATACGACTGAAGCGGAGCACAGTCGTGCCGGACTAAACTCACAGACGAGACACTTGCAATACGGAAAATCTTATGAAAACTCGGATTATTTAAGTGAGAAAATCAGAATCGGGACTTCGTTTTTCGATATACTAAGTTTTTTTTACAAGGAAACTTCTTGCGGTTTAAGAAATTCCGTAATCTTGCTGATTTAACGTCGAGTGGGGAAGCCGCGTCATTGGTGGATCTAGGCCGCTTAAAGCCAATGGCGACGAAAGGAGGAGCCGGTTATAATGCCACGAAATTTGGCGTGTCGCCTCCTTTACACTGCCTATCAATGAGAACTCAACTCTTTCTTAAAGGCTTACTTCTTCTTGATAGAGGCGAGTGGGCAAATAAAACTAACTAAAAGGTTCCCTGTATTGCGTCTGTTTATATCGCCACTCAATTAGTGAAAAGTTCGAGATGGTTTTATTTGCTTATCTATAACTAGCTGGTGCCCGGGACTTCGTCTACGCAGGATTAGGATTAGGATTACGTAATATCGCGCATTTAAAGATCATATCATACACTACATAATTATGTGTAACTAACGTTTATGGCAGCGCACGCCAGAATAGCTCGCAGAAAGGTACGTTTTTCCTAGTTACTTGACACTTAATGTCATATTTTGGACAGCTCACACAATATCTTTATAAATTGTAGCCTATGTGTTATTATGATGTATAAGCTATATTATTGGAAAGTTTAATTGAAATCAATTCAGTAGTTTTTGCGTGAAAGAGTAACAAACATCCATCCACACATACAAACTTTCACGTTTATAATATTAGTAGGATAATTCAACGTAAACCGGCTTGTTTGTTTTGTGTAACGGTAATAATGTATGGCTAATAATCTCATCGTGGTTTTAATCCCCACTATATCGAACGTGTTTGTATCTGCTATGCTTAAGACTTTGTCTGAAAATCTGGATATTAAATGGATGGTCCAAATATCGCTAATACGTCATCGGGTCACGAACAACCGTGCACCGATGAGCCGTGAAATTTAATTGTATTTAGGTTTCAGTCAGTGGATTTACGAATATTGAAATGCAAAAAGGTAGACAGTGCATCTTAAGATGTTCTATGATTGGAGTACATCACCTTCCCCAAGTGAAATAGTGCTTTTCTTCTGAGCGTCCTTAAATGAATGAATAGCCTTTATTTACGAAACAATAAACTTATCAGTCTTAAACAGTGAAGTGTGCAATAATATTTACAGTTTCCTTATTAAGAAATCTTAAATAATTATACATCTTATATATCTATCTCATATCATTAAACTATTCTAAAACTATTAATTATTTATATAATGTGTGTATATGTAACTAGTTAAGGCTTATATTATTAATTAAATCATTGGGTCCACTTCTCTTACGACATAGGCCTCCTCCAAATATTTCCACAACGTCTTACAACGAGCTGTTCTACGTCACTCTGACCCTGCTGCCTGCGCGTCCTTAATAAAATAAAAATAATGGCAAGTGTAGGCGATATGCAATAATATGAAAAGACATAAATACCTTTTTACTAAATACTTTTTTTTTAATATACAACTAACTAATTTTCTTATAAATTTCGATTAGATATATATATGACTAGCCATACCAGCGACTTCGTCCGCGAGGATCGTTATTTTGGGCATCCCAATAAGTTTTTGCAAACCCGGTCATCTTTATAAACTTAAGCTGTAACCACAACGTTTATCGTCTCTCTCTTAATAATACAATTACAACTACTTTGAGACAGTTCCAGTAACTTCATGACTAACATTGTGGTGGAACAGCCTCGCTTCATCTATTGATTAAAGTTCAGCTATAATGTGCGTGCGTGTTGTTGTTGGTGTGTGTGTGTCTGTGTGTGTATGAGATATATAAAATTTGTTTCTAAGCATGTGAACAGTTTGGTAAAGTTCAGTATAGATTTTAACATTTTCTGAGACGCGGAAAATCTTTAGTTGATATATGGTTCGAGTATTAGGTACACCTTCGTGCTTCTCTGTTCTCCTACGTAATAAAAACACAAACATTACAGGTAGTTACAACAATAAAGTTCAATTTTGTTACTTATAGGGTTAGTTATTCAAGTACCTGCCTATATAAAGCGGATGTTTACGATCAGCGCTAACCAAGATGTACGATACCTAATATTACTTTTGGAATTCCTAACCATTTCCGATTTATAAGTGGACATTTATGTTATTGGCATTGGCAGAACTTTGACTCCAGGTCACATATTCTAGGGTTCAGATTCCGTGGTATTTGCAACATATCAAAGAAAATATCTACCACGGGGTTTGTTAATGAAGATGCAAGACCAGATTAAGAGGCCCAGAGTAAGAGGAAATCTCGGGGAAACGAGGAAGTGGAGGACCCCGGCCCCAAAGGTAATTTTAGGAATTAAATAAAAAAAATCTCAGTCGAGTCTTTCGATAAACAAATTCATGCGAATGCAAATATGTTAACTATTTTATTATTAAAAAAAAATTGATACAATGAAAAACAAGCAATTTTTAATAAAATGTATTAAGTAGTAACATATAAAATAAAATAAAAAACACAATTCCGAAGTTATACGTAGTTGCCGTTACCATCAATCTGTACACTCACAACACACAATGAAAAACAACGTCCATGCTCTTATTCCCCTTGTCTCTAAGTATCAGATACCGCTTTTAATAATTTCTTTGGAGAAAATTTGGTTCGACTTCCGGGGAGACAACCATTTCTGTCAAGCACGGCACAAAAGTTTGCCTAACTTCTTGTCTGTAAGTAAATCCGTTAAGTTAAATAAACAGAGAAATGTGTCTGCTCGATTGACCACATAATGGACGCGAGAATTATATAAAGAAATACAACAACGAATTGTATAAAGTAGAAAGACACGTAAGTAATATATTTTGATATTGTTGGAATTTCCCGGGGATGGATTACCTATTTACGCTGTAACTTCACACTTCACATTTTTTTCTTATATAGACCCTATAGTTTTTTTAAAGCGGCCCATAGACTACCAATATTATAGTGAAATATCCTGGGTTGTACAGTAAAATTGATCGTGTGTAGACGACATTAAAGCGTCTATACATATATAGGATATATATATATATATTATTATTCTATCGTCTATGGGCCGCTTTATGTATTTGTTTAACGCACTATAACACTTTTTGTTTTTATGTAAATTACACAAGTGGCGCGCTGTAGTGCCTTTGCCATGATACGGTGAAAAAAAGTAAATGACAGATAACATAAAATCATAATGTTAACTGTCACTGTCAACCGGCTAACGTCACCTTACTAAAGTCTTTGACGTACCCTAGTGCTAGCGCCTAGCGCCTAGCGGCCTGTTTAATTTCGATTGGAGTGTTGCGGTTTAGGTCTTATTTCGGCTTATAACTTAAGTTACGTTTAAAATTCATTATAATATATTCAACAACTAGATATATCTTTTTGAATACTAGTTTGCAACGGAGTACTTAATATTTTATAATGTCCTTTACAATTTAAAAAGTTTTATAGACGTGAAAAGTTTTGGTGAAAATCTTAAACGGTATATAAAAAGGTACAGTTTACGCTGTTTTATAATTTTGCCATGCGTTATTTATTTATTACTTGTGTTCATAAAAAAATATTTGTTTAAGCATCCATGTTGCCTGCTAAAATGAAAGTGGATAAGAAACTTTTGCCAATTAAGGGTCACTTTTTTCTATTTAATGCTGGTAAGTACTTTTGCAAATACTGCGGTTGAAATGGTTTTTATAGTTTTTAAAGGTTATTAATAGGTTTCCAATATCACGACAATAATATTTTTTAACGATATAGGACATGATTGAACTAACCTGATATATGTATAATTTTAAAAATTGTAAAAAACTGTTATTTGCTTAAATTATCCGTATAATACAGAGTACTATAAAATGAGAGTTTAACTATGATAATGCTTCTAACATATGTATTATGATTATTTTGGAATTATAGTGTATTACATGAATAAACCCAATGTTAATAAGTATGGAAGTAAATGTATAAAAGCATAAATGCATACATAATCCAATAGAGTGTAATACTGAAATAAATATCTAAATAACATACTTAATTCATATCAAGATACTGTTAATCTTATGTGTACTATATAGATACATGATAAGGGTTCACAATGTCGGTACTACAGGTGTATTTATCAAGCCAATTTATCATATAAATTAATTTTATCAATGTATATTTTGTGTGTGAAGTAATATTTTGAGAAAAAGTCTCAACTAGACCATAGTACATTTATATTTTATTATAAATATAGCTTATTTACTTTTACTTACAATTGCTTCCATTACCTCTGTGTAGTATTTAGGGTTCATTTTCCCGGTATGGCCCAGAATTAGTACACTAATAATAATGCTTACCTCCGTTGCAAGCGAAGGGTGTAAGCTTTAAAGCAAAGGATATGCCCTTGCTTGAAACTTAGTGACTGACAGTTGGTAAAAATTGCTTTAAAAAAATAAGATTAAAAAAAATACTAATGATTCTTATATTATTCTTAGCAATATGCTAACTGTAGAATTCTTTCTGGTACAAGGAAACTCTAGTATTAATAGATTTTTGATAAAAAACTTATTATTACTTTTTCTGCATATCCACCAAATCACAGCTTTATGTTTAATATTTAAAGCAATTTGTACACAATATAGCAATACAAAGGCTGGCAACAATTAATGGATTTGAATTGAACAAGGTCAAATTATTTGAGAAAGCAAAAAATTTATTCGGTACAATTGGTTGCTCTGCAGCCATAATACTAGCTTATAGTATTTATGAACTTCAAGAATTAGACTTCTATATTGTGTTTGTCACTAAACTATTTATCATGTTTTCCTGGGAATAAATCACATTCCAAAAACATGATTTATTTCCAGGAAACAAAACTAAATATTAAAGTTCAAGTCTTGCCAGAGTCGTAACTATTTTTGAATTCATCATCAATTTTTTTGTTTATATAGATAATGCTGTCATGTGATAATGGATATATATTAAAGTTGTCAAACAACTAAATATTGTTTTTCACTGGTTTAGTTAGCACCCTTTTGCAAAATCATTAAACATGGCCAGTGAAAATTTAATTTTTGGAAATAATATATTTTTAACTCTGTTTACAGGTACAGCACCCTTAGTACCATATTTATCCACATATGCTCGTCAATTGGGATTCTCATCCGCAACAGTTGGACTTATATACACTATACTGCCAATTTTTGGTCTCATCGCTAAACCACTGTTTGGTGTTATAGCAGATAGGTAAGTTTTTGATAAATGAAACTTACATATACACTTACTGCAATATTAGATCTAATTATGAATACATATCATTAATTTGTGTATTGATTTTTGTGACCCATGGTTTAATGACGTGCCAGAGATTGCGCGTGAAGTGTGGGATATCCTGGGTTACTAGTAAGTTGGAGTTTTGGGTGTGAATATAGAAACTAAAAATAATTCTATTTTACTTATTATTATACAGTAGAACTCGTTTAAGACGATCACGATTAATACGATTTCTCGCATAATACGCCACTTTACGCCAGTCCCTGCAACTTGACACATATTTTCATACATTTCTTAATGCTTAATACGATACGTCATCCCGTTTAATACGCCCGAACGCCACCTAATCCAGAGGCCTCCTACTAGGCCGCACTCCGTTGCCACGGTCGTCATTTCTTGAAAATATTTTAATTGTTAATGCACCAAAATCTTTCTGTCAAACCAAAGTGATTATTTTAAATAATATTATTATTATGGGCCTGTACTGTCCCACTGCTAACCAAAGGCCTTCCTCCTATCTCTGGTTTTTGTGGTCTATTTTAAATAATATAATTATGTATAATTACTCTAAGTCTTTAGTGTACATAATTTATAACTGTATAATTTTAATGCATATGTTTACAGTATCAAAATTAGAATGAAATACATAATAATATGTTTTACGTTGTATTTTCTCTATCCCGCATAATACGCTTTCTCGCTTTAGACGGGTTTTTGGTATGGTCCCTGAGAAATCGTTAAGCGGATTTTACTGTATATAAAAATTAGTCCTTTCTACAGGATATTAAAAAATAATCCTATTTCCTTAGTCTTCAATGCCCTTGATGTTTTTATGCCTTTGAGTACATTTCCTCTCAAGTTTTGGCTTGTGCCATGGCAACAAAAAAAACTATTGTTAAAATGATTAAATATTATAAATTAAATCACTTCAAAAGATAATCTTAGTCTTATTGTTACCAGGTCAAGGCTATATATAAAAATAAAAGTTTAATAATCATACATTAAGCGATCAACATATAGAAAATATACAATATCCACTTCATTATGCACACTGCACAGGATTTGATATGGCATCTGTGAGCAATGTGTTTTATTGAGATATTGATTACTATGCGTTATCCAATTTTGTATGCATGATTTATATCATAACTTTCTTTATCAGTTTAACAAAATATTAAGAATTCATATTTTTTTATAGAAAAAAAATTCATGACACAGGTTGGTAAGCAAAAGACCACAACGGTACTTACTCTTACATTTAGCAATTGAGAACGTCATCGTTGAATTTTATCAATCCAATTTATACATGATCTTCTCGCGGTGTTTATGCGTAACGTTTATTAAATACAATAAATTTCACATTTATTTCGGTATTTAATGATCCAAGATGAGTCGTTTTACAACAAGGCCGTTAATCCATTTACCACTAAAGCCCTTCTAAGCTATGAAACCCCCCTATTCTATACAGCTGGACGGCTGTGGGACTGTAACAGGTCTTCACTGATTAGTTCGTTCTGCCGGGTCTTCAGACAAGTCTGATTAATAGATTTTGTCGGTCGCGTTGGTCTAATTCTATCAGTGTACCAACTAATCGTGCGTTCTAATTAATTTTTGATTTTCGTAAAACATGTTGACTAATTGCATCGGAAAACCCCGGATATCAAATGCCGTTCACAAATGAAAAAGCCGCGAATGTAATCGCGTTTCGATTTTAGTCTGTGGATTTCCGTGTTCCGTAAATTCATCGTGTTTTGATGTTATATGAATGAGTTATTTCACCAACCATCAAGTGACCCCATGGTCTCCTCTATCATAAAATAAAATTGATTGATAGAAAGCGGTCGTCCGCACGTGTCTTTTCCTTCACAATAACACCCCAGTGTCATTGTAAAATGTTCTAAATTATTGTTATTTCTTTTCAGATTTAGAGTACAAAAGCCAATATTTATATTGTTTCAAATAATAACGATAGTTAGTTTTGCCGGTATATACTTTATTCCGCAAAATGTTTCGAAGCTGACTGTGGAATTAGATTGTGGGGATGGTGCCACTGTACTTAAGAGTTGCTATAAGAGTATCGAAGAAATTGATCAATGTAAGGTCAGATCTTTGGGCAATCAACAAGAAACGGCTGAATGTAAGGTAAGTCATACGAGTTATTTGTTGAAGCGAATATGCATTTCTAGCTATAAGCGAATTGAGTAACATTGATTTGAGAAATATACTTTGCTTGAGAAAACAACATTCTTCATAAAATTAGTTTTTTAAAGTATGAGTAGAGGGCGTATGTGTAATTCAAAAGAAAATACGTAATGTATAAAATCCTCGTGTCAAGATGTATATATCCCTCCGTAACAAGTTGACAGATTTTTATTGACCCCATTATTAATACAGTTTTTTGCACACATTCTTTATTTTTCATAATGTGGCATTAAAAATACATTTAATCTTAAATTTTTATATTATAATGGTCCACACCTTTTCTGTTCAAATGCACAGTTACAATGACGAGCGCGAGATCCTGGGTTCGAAATCCGGTTAAACAGTAGATTTTTACGGTTGTGCAGGCACAGAAATCTGATCAACTACCTGTCTGTAAATAAAGCAGATCAGTGAAACTGACTTTTGTATGCATAAACAGGCTTTGCCGGGTCAGCTAGTGTAATGTAAAATGTTTATATTATAGATGACGTGTGATCTGACATCGCCAAAAATGTGGCAGACCGTCTGCGAACATTGGAAAATACCCCAATATTGCTACAGCCACACAGACAGGATAGACTATACATCGTATATCAGCAACGTGACTTCGAGGGACGATAAATGCACTTACATTGAGTCGAACAATGTGACACTTGAAGGTAACTTGAGAGCATATCTTGCATTCTTAAAAACAATTGAGAAAATTTCGCGAAAGGCATGTTGAATGAATTTTAGACACGATTTTTTCTTGTCAATCTTTCTCCGATATGGGGAACGTTCAGTTGCCTGTTTTAGCAGTTGATTTTATCGGTTCAATCATTGATAGACGCCGTCGCTTATGTTATCATGACTGCGAGTGTATTGCTACGAAAAAAAATGTATGGGCTGGTGACAGTTTCATCGAATTTAGGCTCTATTATATTATGTAGAATTCTTTACGCTTTTGTTAGCAATATTAACGTATGGCGAGATCTCCCGACCTCACAAAAGTACATATACCACTAGATTCTAGACTATTTTTGTTGTATTTTACAGAGTCAAATAAAGAATTAAAGGTAAAAAGTTACATAGGTAGATATAAACTACATGAATTTGAAGCTGATTACGATTTTGTGCATAAATAATACATCAGCTTATTTATTCGGGTCACTATGTGCGTAAAAATACGTAAAAGTTTGCTCAAACTCAAATAGAATTTATGAATCAGCATTTCACTAAATTGAACAAGTTATAAGAAATCTTTCAAAATATTGTATAATTAATGTTATTGTAGACAGTTTTTTTTTATAGAGAAGAGAATATTTCTCTTCTATAATTAGAATAACTAGTTTTTCTCCGTCCTCTGCAGAAATAGAGAAAGATGTACTTAAAATAATCAACCGTGCACTTTAAATGAAACACTTTTTAACCGTGTATAAACGCTAAATATATTACTTAACTATTAGGTGTGACCTTGTCTTTATATGTAACTAGCTGTGTCAGCCACTTCGTCCGCGGTCGCGTGTAGAATCGGTCGCGACCCGTCCTTGAGGCCCCGTAGTTCTTGCGAGTTAAACTTAAAAGATAGACATACACGTTCGCGGATATTTTTTTCTTTCGATCATTTAAAGAGGAATCATTCTTTTATACACATTTTTGGGTGTCTTAAACCGCTTTCGCAGCGAAAACCGAAACTGAACGAACCGAAACGAAAAATAATTTTCCCTGTTTTATAGCCTTCCTCTATAAATGCTCTAATTAACACAAAAATATTTTTTCTATTCGAATCAGCAGTTTCTGAGATTAACGCGTCCAAACAAACAAACTCTTCAGCTTTATATATTATAATAAATGTGTATTATTCGCGTAGACACTACTTAAGCTACTAAATAGGGTTACGGGTATGTTGTATTGCATTCATGTTTTTTTTTTCAGGATATAATTTTAAGCCAAGCTGTCGTATTGGTAACGGCTTCGTGGATGTTAATGAGCCCTGTAGACTCAAATGTAAGAACGAAAAGCTCGCCAATCTCGTGGGACAGAACCAAGCATACATGACATGTGTTAATGATAGTTTAAACTATCGCCTTTGCAATAACGCCTCCAGTGTCGACAGTTTTGTGACAGACAAACAATTGAATACATGTGAGGTGAGGACTATTAATTTTTATAATTAAAATTATTAAATATGCTAAAGCCATGTGCGTAGATAATTAATTTTCATATTAAAACCTTTTTTAGTTTATTCAGTAGCGCAGACGCGTCAACGCGATATATTAGTTAAACTTATTTGAAAATGATTTTTAACTAATATATCGCGTTTTAAACCGTTAAAGTGTTTTATTTAAATGTGTACTACTCGCGTAAACTATAGACAATATTTAATCGATTATAAATTGAAAAAAAAATTACTTGGACCGGCATCCTCCATTGGTTAGAGCAACAGCACGGAACGCAGAGGTTGCCGGTTCAAGTTCTGTCCGAGCAGTAATTTTTTTCAATTTATAATCAATTTTTAATTTGTATAGTGCAATAACATGTAAACAACATTAGAGTTTATTCATTAGATGCCAAAAGTATTTTAAATTAACTGGTTAAAGTTATTTTAATGAATTAATTTTCATTTAATTTCATTTGAAGTACTACAAACTGTGTTTTTAAATTGTTTGCCTATAAACACCGCCAACACACAAAACATCGCGGAGTGTTTTATATGGTCACCGTTGCAGATCATAATTGCCTTTTATGTTTTAAGGACAAAATATTCATCGTATAGAGACCGTATATATGACGATATTGTGTTCGTCCCGAAAGAACTATAATAGGTATTGTGATGAATCCAGAGATTCGTGCTTTTAAATTAAAAGAAACATCTTGATCTGACTAACTAAAGACTAAATTAATAACTAAAGAATAAATAAAACGTTAGTTAAATTTACTTTAACTTCGCTTCGTGACGAGGTGACTACGGCTGCTGCAGAGTAATCGAAACGTCAGGCCGTATTAATACATTTCGCTTTTAAAACTGTTCTATTTACATGTCGTACTCCCATCGTAGAACTACAGAGAATACATATAAAAGACTGCCTAAATATGGCGAAATTAGTACACAATATAATTTTGTATTCATTTGGATTGGGGAAATGATTTGAACACTAAATATAGTCAAAGCAGGTCAAAACAAGGCAGTGTTTGTTCATATATCTGATGTATGTGAACATTGACCTTAGATTAGGAATTAATCGTAAACTATTGAAAAGATTCATTCAAACAAAGGAGGGTCTATTTAGCTTTACTAAACTAATGATGAACTAAATATCGCTTCCTTGTCAAGTTCCACTTCACCATCATCATTATTATCAGCCCGTTTGGGTCCACTGCTGGCCGTAGGCCACTCCCAAAGCATGCCACTCGGCCCTCTATTGCGCTCTATTTATCCATTTGCTGCCGGCTACTTTCTTTGGGTAATCTGTCCACCGTGCTGTAGGTCGTCCTACACTGCGTTTGCCTAATCGTGGTCTCCAATCTAGTATATTTCGGCTCCAACGACCATCTTCTCTTCTGCAGACATGGTACCCATTGCAATTTTATTTTTTTTGCTAGCAATATCGTTTTCGTTTTTTGCGGATGACTTCGTTTCGAACTTTGTCTCTCAGTCCTACTATTTATGCCAAATTAAGTAACTTAGTTAAGATAGTAATTAAGGCTTTTTAGGTTAAGCTCATTTTGTATCATTCATATAAGTTTTAGTAGGGGTTAAGTTTTGGTAGATCCTTTTATATGACTTTTCATTTCTACAGGTTGTTGGAAGAGACAGCTATTTAGCTATAAAGTCGCCGTTTGTCCTTAATTTTCCCTATTTTTATTATTTTTTTGTTGTTTTGATTTTCTCATTAAAATCTTATTTTGTTAATGATATTTTTTCAATGCTCCAAATCTGATAAGACACAACTAATAGATCTTTAAAACACTATTAAAGTTAAAAAAATATTATTGATCGAGTTGTTAGTTAGATCGATGTCTTTAACGAAACCACTCATAAAGTGTTACAATCTATAAATATGTAAAAGTCTTTGACCTTTACATTGAAACCTTACCCAAAGGGGATTTGTTAAAGTGTGCATGTTACTAGACGCTAGGTAAGCGTAATCAGGAGTATCATAGAAGAAACCAACCGAAGATGGAAATTTTACTGGAGGGAAGGCATAATATATAAGAAAGAGACAAAAGACTTGATGGAAATAAACAGCAAGTGAAACTCTCACTCACTCATAGTAGAAATCCTAACAGGACAATGTCGTCTAAACAGATATCTTACAATGATCGGAGTAAGTGATACAAGCGTCCATCTACTCACTGAATGCTTCGCGTACTCAAAATTAAGGCTACACTACTAAAGCGACATATAGGAACCGACAAAATAACAGAAGATAGAATTAAAGATGATACAAATTATGAGATTCTACAAGCAAACCGGAAGGTTGAAAGGAAATCAGCGAGATTTATATAACCCAAAGTCCTCATAGGGAGAAATACGTGATATGGTTAGCAAATAGTGTGGAATGATTATCCGGGATTCTATCGGTGTCTCTAATAGAAAATAATAATTATAATAATGTCTCACCGTGCCCACGGCTGCTGCAAAGCATCCGAAACGTCGGGCCGAAGTTAAAAATCCTTTCCAAATAAGTTTAACTAATATATCGCGTTTTAAACCGTTAAAGTGTTTTTTTTAAATTAATAAGTGTCTTACTAATAGTGACCAAGGATAAAAGTGTTAGTTTTTTTACAGTAACATATCATAAAAAAAATAGAATTTAAGTAATATATAATGTTTTATTTTTATGCTTTTAAAGTCGAATCAGTGTCCACTAATGGCTGAAATGGCTTTCCTCGAATCCATGTGGTCGTCGCTCCATACTACGTCGTCCCTTCATAATATTATGTCACATTTTCCAGGCGTCATGCGAGCTGGATGAAACAGCTCCGTGGAAACTAATGGAGATATGCCTCGGCTGGGGTGCTGATGTGACTGAGATCTGCAAGCCGAAGACACCAGAGGGCGAACACCTGCCCAGTACTCTGTCGTTTACTGGACATCTACGCCTGACTACAACTGTCACTGAGCATGCATGCGTTTTTATAAGGCTAAACTATATCGTTATGCCTGATGGTAAGTGAATACTAGTGTCTCCTTGTGTATTTAGCTTTTTACAGGCTCCAATAAGGGATTATAAATTCGATTCTAACCGGTCCAAAATGTTTCAAAGCGCATAATAATTTCCTTAAAGTACGTTATACTTCGTCTGGAAAATCTAAATGTTAAATGGTGGGAATATCGAAATGCCATCTTGTGTTACGAACTACTGTCCACAGAAAAACCGAGAAGTGCAAAGCGGTCGTAGAAATTTATAGTAATAGTTCGGCAACGCATTTGGTCCGTGTTATATATTGTTGGGGTATTTTAACCACCAACCAACCCTATGTGTTAGTTTCTGTTATAAAAGTTAATATTTGTATGTAGAAGCTTTTAAACTACATCTAATAATGTTTAATCTTTTTACATGCGCTCCGTGTTTTTACGTAAACAACACACAATACAAAACCTTGAAATATAAAAGTTGGGTTGATAATAAGTGAAAACTAAATGTCTCGAGTTTGCTTGACTTTGTCTTTAAAACCAACAATAATTGGTTTTCAATTCAAAATGTTTTGTTTGAACTGTCCTAAAGTGTGTTATTTCTCTCTATGTATCGCTGATAAATTTTACTGCAGCACTAAAATAATTTATTGTTTTTCCTTTATATAAATACAGTCCTCTAGCTTGAGAATGCTAGGCTACGGTGGTCGTCTCGGAATTCTACTAGCCTGTGCTTAAAAGTTCGGCAGTGTAATAAAATTGTAATCAAACATTTTCAGGCTCAGTGCACTATCCCAACTGCGTTTCTAAAGCTCAATATGAAATGGAGATGAGTCTCTTCCATCCATCTTGTGAGATTGACTGTGACAACGCACAGGTAGAAACTTTACTAACCTTAGCCTTCGTTTAAAATTTGCTTTTCCAATAGAAAGAAGCTATGACATGGTAAGATACAGATTGTGGGATCGTTTTCCAGTATATATTTTTTTGTTCTTAAACATCTGAGACTTATTTATAAGTCTGACATAAGTGGATACTAAGGCGGTGGAAATATCAAAATTTTGTTTGTGTCACGTAAATACCACCCAATGTAAAAACAAAACAAGTTTGTTGTCTGCTAGTGTCCTGAAATGCTTCTAACTTGCTTAATATCCTATCTATTTTCTATGCATATGATGTGTGTGTGTTATACAATACCGCCTACGATTTAACAAAATTAAAAAGAAATATTAATTACAAAGAAACAGTTGGCGATAGCGTCGCTGGTGATTTGTTTTAGTTCACGTTTTAAAGATGTTAAAACATGATTTAATTATCTAATAGTTTGATATATTTTCAGGTCAACGACTTATTGCAAGCCGCAAAAGAAAGTGTGAGTGAAGAAAGTAGCCAGTATACAGGTCAATTCTGGATTTTCTTCGCCCTCATGATAATAAGCTGGGTGGGACAAGCTGTCGTTGTCACTTTTGCGGACGCCATTTGCTTTAATATTCTTGGTAAGTACTGCGAACTCTTATGAGACTAGCTTGGCGGAATAAGGTTTTATAATAGACCTTTTGTTGATTGCAAAACAAAAAATATATCAATTATTAATATTATTTTTCAAAAAGGGTTCGCCCCTCCTGTATTTGTTTAAGAAATAATTATTGTATATTATTTAATTTATTTGATTCTAACCGTGTATATATACTCAAACAAGAGAAATAAAGTTCTTGAAAATTAAAAAATTATAGTTAAAATAATTTAGAACTAAAATATGTCGCGTTTTAAACCGTTAAAGTGTTTTATTTAAATACTATACAATAATTACAAGTTTTACTTATACATTTTATAAGGCTTTCGCGACCATTTTGCAAAGCTCTATAGGCTTTCTGTCGTCGTAATTGAGAAATAACATATATATCTAATTTTGAGTATTCCTCGACTAACTGGCTTTGATGAAGAACGTCAGAATCTATATTATTATTAGTATATTTATATTCAGTAAAGTTGTTTGCTATGACTTTCTGAAAATCCCAATGTTCCCCTGGAAATAAGTTTAAAAATAATTATATTTCTGACATTCTAGGTACAGAAGTGTCACTCTATGGAAAACAACGTCTCTGGGGTTCCGTTGGCTTTGGAATGTTCTCCCTCATCACCGGAAGCCTTATAGACTTGTTCAGTAATGGCGCATACAAGAACTATACTGTGGCGTTCGTTCTCATGTTTGTCTTCCTGTGCGGTGACGTCATTGTATCGTGTTATATGAAGGTATACATTCTTACTTATCAATATAAATAATAATAATAAATATAAATAAATGATAGTAATTTTGGCCCTTAAAGTGTCTAATTATTGTAGTTACGTCGCTATAACTACTTTTTTACATTTAACAAATGAATTGAAATGTCGATAAAAATCAGACTGTGTTATCCATACCATTTATACATTTTTATCCAAATAAATAATTTAATATTCAAGACTGTCTCTATCGAGTCGTCAAACCGCGCATCGAGTAACTAATTCGACGATAGAGGGCGGCAGTGGGCGTGAACGACATTGAATATTTCGATTTTTTTTTAACATTTTTATGCTTCACTTAAAAAGTTCTTTTCAAAGCTACTTAGTTTTAGTATTAGGAATCACACTTACACATAATGTTTGTCAAAGTTCTTTTCAGAACTATTTTGAACTTAAATATTTTCTTTTGTATTATTATTAGTTGGTTCTTAATTTCTCTGATTTAAAATAAATATCCTTCATAGCAATATGTCTAGAAGAAGAAGGTCGCAGCTATCTAAGAATAGTTTCCAAGCGAGATTAGCAAAAGTTCGTCGTATTGGAGAATCTTCTTCCTAAAGTGATCGTCTGGAAAGTATTAGAGTGTCCGCGTCCCAATCGCGAGCCAGAGATTCTATCGTCGAACGTTAAGGTTCGTCTTGCAGAACAAAATGCAAGATCGTAGCAGGGACTTGATGGAAATAGAGCTAGGAATTCGCGAACGCGTGCACGGGAGACTAACACTGAACGCTCGCAGCGGCTCCTGACACAGCGAGATAGACAACGGTCGTAAATAGAGAGGACGCGCAATACAATTAACTGTATCTTCCTATACTCGATGAATGCACTAACGAACACAATAATTTTTCAATTCGAATCCACAGTTCCTGAGATTAGCGCGTTCAAATAAACAAAGTCTTCATCTTTATATATTAGTATAGATTATTGTAAATATTTTCTTATTATGTAAACATAAAAACATATTTATCTTGTATAATTATGCTCAATAATTAAACGCGTTGCCTAGCATTGGATTAAGCCCGAGAGGTCCGGAATTCGAGTTCCGGGGAAACAATTGATTGTTTCAGTGAGGCAGGTCTCTCACATTTATCATTATATGTACAGATACCAATGCTCAATTAAATATACAACATTTACAGGTAGAGTCGACTAAATTCTCCATGAATATCTTAGCTGACGTTGGCTCGTTGCTAACTTCTGTGCACACTTGCGCCTTCATGCTGTGGACGATCGCCGTCGGGCTTTGCACGGGTCTGATCTGGCAGTTCCTCTTCTGGCACATAGAAGACGTGGCCAAGTTGACGTGCGACGGCGCGGATTACGTCAAGACCCTCCAGGGTCTCGTGAGTGCTATCCAGACGTTCTGCGGAGAGATACCCTTCATGTTTGTCTCTGGTGAGTTATTACTCCTCAACTGGTAGAGAATTGCTACTTTGACGGCCCTGTTGGTCTAATTAAATTTTATTTTATTAAAAATTTTAATTGTTGGTCAAAGTTTAGGCTAATGATCAGATCGATCCCCACCTGGACCAACATGTTCCTAATAATTCATACTTTAAATTAAACACTAACGGTTTAAAACGCGAAATATATTACTTATTATATATATAACTTATTTAATTATTTTTTAACAGTTTCGGATGCATTGCAGCTGGGATTTTCAGATAAGTTCAACTAATATATTTAGTGTTTTAAACCGTTAAATGTTTTACATATTTAAATGTGTACTACTCGCGTAAGCTAAAGAAAGTGTTTATACTTTTGTTTAAACATCTTGGTCTTTATCTGGAGATCTGAATATTAATTGGGTGGTAGGAATATCAAAATTCCGTCCGGTTAACGAACCACCGTCCACAGATGAAAATGGTGTGTGATGGTAAATCTGAGGTCCTCATTAAGAGTAAGGATGTTACTAATGTCGAACATAATAGGCCAACAGCACATCTTATTTAGATGTATGGCTGAGGCATTTCACGTTTCCATTGGCAATTGAAACCCACGATTGACGTTTCAGGTTACATCTTAAAGAAACTAGGGCATATCAACATGATGACCTTGGTACTCTTTGCTTTTGGAGTACGTTTCATACTATATTCGTTCCTAACGAACGCCTGGTGGGTGCTGCCAATAGAAATGCTGCAAGGCATCACCTTCGGCATGTTTTACCCCACCATGACGTCATACGCCAATGTGGTTTCGCCACCAGGGACTGAGACTACTGTTCAAGTAAGTGTATAAAATGAATTAACCGATTAAAACGCGATTAAAGTAACAGAATTACCATCGACTACGATTTGTTGTCGAACTATTTTGGCTTTGAAAATATATTTTGTTATTGTATTGATCAAAAATATTTTTCAGGGTTTAGTGGGCGCGATATTTGAAGGCGTCGGTACGTCACTCGGTAGCTTCATTGGCGGACAGCTCTATGAAACATATCGTGGCTGGAACACGTTCCGCTTCTTTGGGTTCGGTGCGTTCGCCGCTTGCGTTATACACGCGATCGCTCAGCACCTACTCAAAGACAAACCCTATCTTAATCCAGGTAAAGACATTGACGGAAAGTAGACAGTTTGCCGTTCCTAAAATTCCAAATTCTACACTTTATCTACCTTAGGATGACAGTTCTAACGTTTTTTATTTTATTTTTGAGTCCTGTTCGAATAAAAAACTTTTAACGGGCACCGCCCACTCGGTGAAAATCGATTTATGTATCGATTATTAATTGATAAATAATCGAATAGGTTAGTGATTGTGCCATGCCCATTTTGTCTTAAATGGGCATGGCACAATCACATCCTATGACAGACATAAAATGTGTGCTTTATATTTTTATATAATTTTAGTGTTAATAACTCGCAATATTAAAAGTTAAATGTACAATATTAAATATTTCACCTGAAACTAAATAAGCAATCATAATGTGATTATGTAATTCATTAGTATATAATTGAGAACTAGTATAGTTTTTGGAAAATTTACCGAAAGGCTGTGAAATATTCAAATTTTATAATTAAAGGTAATTAATTCGGATATTGTCCAGTACTTATTAGAGTGTAAACAAATTGTATTATTACATATTATATTATATTCAGTATTAAAGTGTGAGAAATTCTCGATAAAAAACGTGTCTTAGCTGTAATCTATTCATGTCATGTACTTAGGTGACCTATAGAGGTTGAATGCAGCTTATATTATAAATTTAACTGTCATTTAAATTTGCTTGCTTTTAAGAAGATATATTTTAATGTATGTATGTTGTATGGGGTTTTTAATAACACTTGCAACGGTTTAAAACGCCAAAAAAAGGAGGCTCTCCCCTGTCGCCGCTTCTCCACAGACCAGTCACAATATGTTAACGAGTATATTTCACGTTTTATACCGTTAAAAGTGTTTTATGTTAATATTGGGTTGGCTCTCGGTCTATACTGCTATAATTAAACTTTTGTTATATAATCCAGTTGAAATTGTATTTAAAAGATATATATGAATCGTTATTAGACGACTGTAAACATTTTAATATTGTAAACTAGGTACACTGTTATAAGCACATATCATTTACTAATAATATCTTGTCTGTGGAAACAGGAAAATGGTTACCTACTATTTAATGGGTTTTTCCTAGATAGTTTATAATCTACCTACGACTGTAAATTACAATAATACATTTTTAATGTATGTGGCCTTTAATAACACAGCTTAAGTAAAATGTTTAAACATTGTATTGTCTGGTTGTGGTAATACCTCTCATTAACCCTGTGATGTATGTGTGTGTGTGCGTGTGAAAATTAAATAAAATATATCTTTTACACATTAATAACCACAAGTAACTAAAAGTACATAGTATGGGCAGTTTTCAAAAAGTCACCAGTGTAGCTTTTATTTTGGGAATTGCCCCCCAAAACAATGGTTGTGGTATTTTTCATTTAATGTCTCAGTGGTTTGTCAAATATACGGGTTTGGAATATACTTACTTTGAATCGTTAAAACTGATTGAAACCAGTAATTCATTTCTCACTGTTATGTCTATAACCAAGTAAAACTATAATTTTCAAGTGAACAAATTCTGTACGTGTGTAAGAATTTAATGTGTATAAAGCATTTTGATCCCATAACGATTCTTGCTATGTAGCGGTCGTTTTTTAAATTATTGTTACAATGCATAATTTCGAATTTATTGTGTTTTTATGTTGCACCATAGATGTAGGTGGAAAATATATAAGTTTTAATAACGTGAATCGATGTCTTATTTGAAATGATTCAAAAACTTTAGATTTCTATGCAAAATAGTGGTGAGTGTTTTTTTTTTATTTTACAAAGGAAGTACATTCCAAGCTTTTGCTTATATAACTAAATTAAGGGTTATTATTGATTCCTTTTTTTTGACATATAGTTATTTTACAGGGTACTCATCGGTAATCCACTATGGAAATGATAATGACGCTGTCAATATATTGGATGAAATGGTCGTGAACAGCTGAGTAAGAGTCATTTTTCACAACTGTAAATTTCACTTAAATGAAAATTATTTTTAAGAAAATACGTCATTTTTTTAACCGTTCAGCCTATTGTTAGTGTAGATTGGGACCAAGAGATGGGTGCGTAAGTCGCGAGTAGAATATTTGCACTTAAAGAGTGCATTGTGTAGGATACGTAACACCTTCAAACTTAAAACGAGGTGTAATCTGATATACCTATATGGTATAAATAATATATTACATTTTACGCACAACGTTTGAACCGCCACTCATCTTAATAAAAATAAATATTATAAATTTTAATTTACTACGGCCCGGAGTTTCGGATGCTTTCCATCAATCAATGTCAAAGTCAAATCTGCTACGCTAGCGCCACCTCTTACTCTTAGTAATTGGTACTTGGAGGAACTAGCTGGCAATAGATAATATCGACTACAAATATCAATGTTTAATTAGCTTTAAAAACTATTTACTTTTTTGTTTTCCCTATTTAAATTAAGATTCTTGAAGATGGGAGTCAAAGTGTACTTACTTATTTTGTATTGTGACGATAATTGTCAAATGTTCGTTATAAAGGTGATAGATAAACAAATGTTATACAATTCTAAGTAGTTATAAGGAAATCTATTTACAAAAACCTTATATATTTTTATAAGCTGTATTTATACTGTTATTTTTAGTATTTACACATACGAAAGGTTTATCATCATATCGTGAATATTGTACGGTTAGTATATATTTGTGTGTGTTTCGAAAAACTTCAAGCTAAAAATAAAATAAACAAGGGCATGGGACATAATTGTAAATGAAATATAAAGCGTTTCGCAAGTTGGTAATATATTATTTAACCTTTAGAACCCTTATTAAACGTACGCATAATCACTGAGGAGAGACAAGCAAATCACACGATAGAAGTTTAAGTACTAATACTCTTGCCTAATTCAGTTGCGCTGTCGACCTATTTTGCCTCAGATTGAAACCGAAATGCGAATTTCCACTTCACTATTATTGGCTTTTTATACACAAGATTGATCATTCTTTCACTCATTTAATATTCAGGTATTCCTTTCGTGTTTCGGGCTAAATGTAAATAACGTAAAAAAAGTGGACCTGGTAAGAATTGAACCCACGACCCGTCGGTTAATAGATACCATTGCATCAACAAGCCCTTAATTTGCATTGTATGCAACGGATGTTTGCCACTAAAATCTGAGAGAAATGAAAACCAGTGCTGTTGTGACCCAACATTTATTTAAAAAATATAAAAAGGAATAGTACTAATAATTATTATTAATTTTATTTAATAGCCTCTCGCTTGCATAACTGCCGTGGAATGTTATTCTGAAAAAAAAAACATTTTAATTTTTTTTTTTGTTGATTTCTGATTATCGTTGAACAAACATTGTTGGACTGACCTTCACAAACTATCATTGATGAAAAAGACGTTTCTGGGTGGAAGCCAGTGATTGTCGCAGTAATCTATCAAACAAAGTATTACAAAATTAGATGAAATTCCTGTAATTTGTTAATCGAGAATTGTTTTATAATCATACAAATATATAGTCATAATTATAGTTAATATAAACTGAAGGATAGCAAAACGAAGAAGAAACCAAGGGCATTGCAAATTCAAAAAACTTAAATATGTTATAATTTAGTTATATCTAACTACAAATTAATTAATAATTAAAACACTTAAATAAACTAAACATTTAAAGATGAGAAATACATCAGTTAATTTATTTTAACTACGCTCCGATGTTTCCCATACATTTGTAGCAGCCATAGTCGCAATTTCTAATTAAGCTAACTAAATTATTTCGCGTTAATTCTATACTAATATTTAAACTGAAGAGTTTGTTCGTTTGAACGCGCTAATCTCAGGAAGTACATCTTTGAAATAAAAATTATTTTTGTGTTGGTTAGAGCATTTATCGTGGCAAGCACAGAACAAAAAAAACATCGCACCGTGACTACTACAAGCGAAGATACAGCGAGAAATGTGAAAAATTGGGAAAATATTTTATAATTATGGGTTTCCGAAGCGTACACTGCAAAAACGGTAAAGATACCCAAAGAATATGTATAAACTATTCCTCTTAAATTTGCAAAAACAAATTTGATACCCAAAATAACAATTTACGCGGACGAGTTGCTGTCACATCTAGTATGTTATTATAACTTAATTAAATAATCTTTTTAATGTAAGACCGCAAATACTAACTCTATAAACTAATAGCATTAAAGGAAAATATTCACAGCGTTTATTATATTACATAATACAATAAAAACCCTACTTACTTTTTATCACGTCTTTTCAGTATTAGTATTCCACTAACAGCATAGAGAATACCCAAAAATAAAAGAAGTATGAAATAAAATTCAACAAACCAAGAAACGGGACTCTGAAAAAAAATAATCTTTGAATTTATACTATAGGAAATTCTGACATCATAAAACGATTGATAGATATTAACATTATGTAAAAGAACAGATAAGATAAACACAGTGTCAGTTGGAAAAAAACTTCCTCCGCAAAGGGGGAAATAGCAGTCTGGATTTCCAGACAAAAGCGAGAATAGGCCGACAGCACATCTCAATTAGGTGTTATATGGCTGAGGTACTTCACCTCACATCAAGTGAATCTTAAGCTTTCATAAGTGTCCCCTAAAACTAAATGTATTAGATCAACATTCATTAAATGAATTAAATAATTATAATATTTAATTCCAAAAATGAGGAGATTTCTCTTACTAACATATTTGCAATCATAGAAATTATTTCAGAATTCGGATTAATACCAAGTAACACTGTACTGTGTTTGTAAAGCTTTTGCAACGTATGGTCATTTGTTGGTTTCCAGGCAACTTAATTAAATACTACTAAGAAACTTATACATTTCATAGATTCAAGTAAAACCTAGAAAATTATAATCTTAATATATTATATTACCCCCTCTCGACACTCTTTTTCCCAGTCCACAGAAATAATATTGTCATACAACTTCGTAAACTGCTGTAATGGGCACAGCTTTCCACAATTTGGTAATGACAAAACATATGGCTCAACAATTCTTGCACTATTTCTGTATGACAGTCGAATATAATGATCTGATCCATTACCTGAAACATCCACAAAACCGTATTGTGTCCAATATGTTACAAATACCTCATCATTGAAACCCCTGGACTGAAAATCTAATGTAGGTATAGATAATGAAAATTATTACCACTCTCGAAAGAACAAATAAACATTTTTGTAAAATCGTTACTTCCCTTTCGGATGTTTCGTATTAAAAATTTGACTAGGGGTCAGAATTCGTCCAATTGTTATTTTTTCTTATAATAGGGGAAATCAAAAATGTTTGAAAATTGTCTTACGATACAAATGAATATAGAAAAAAATATTTCGACTAACCTATAAGCTCCAAGAAGACAGTAGATGTATATTCTGGACAGTTTCCATCGTACACACCGAGCCCATTCAAAATGTTACCAATGGTAAAATCATGCCCACTATAGATAGATAGCTTTATATGGTTCGGCTTCTCCTGAACAGCATCATACATGTGGTTTACTATCTGTTGCATTAGCGGACCAATCATAAGTCGTGTCATCAAGGCTGTGCCGGTTGCAGTTTGAAAACTGAAATGTTTTTTCTAAATTAAATATGATAAATAACTTAAGATACAAGAAGACTACAGCCATGATATGAAAAAAAATCGCGTTAGCCAGATTATAACTTAACGTAATGATAGGTAACCCTTTTACCATTTAGCTACAAAGACATGACAAAAATGCAAATCGTAACTTGTTATAACAAAAACACATCAACTATGGAATACTAAAGTTCAAACAACAGCTACACATAATAATGACGTAATCAAACACTGCTCATATATTGCTTCTAACGAAAACGAAATACGCCAAGTCAGCTAGTGTTGTATAAATGGACTGGAATGGTTTCATAATACTAAAGTAAATGGATACTAGTTGCAGGTCGTCTTGGTCAGCAAATTTGGCTGGAGTCAAATGACAATAGCTGAGAAATGTTTTAAGATATATAAGGCATGGCAATTTTTTTAGATCATTTTGATTTTGAGAATTCGACTTGTTCTTCATTATGATTTCATACAAGTAAACCAAACAAGTGTAAAAGTTGTGTAGTTATTTTAAGTTACTATTTGTTAATACCGTCCCCTTAGATACATATCTTTTCTATACACAATTCGAATATTTTATCTTTCGTAATAGTAATATTGTTCCTTTTAAATAAAACACTTTAACGGTTTAAAACGCGATATATTAGTTAAACTTACCGTGGTCACGGCTGCTGCAGAGCATCCGAAACGTCGGGCCGAAGTTAAAAATCATTTTCAAATAAGTTTAACTAATATATCGCGGTTTAAACCGTAAAAGTGTTTTATTTAAATGTGTACTACTCGCGTAAACTATAGACAGTATCTAATATTGTTCCTTTTTTACCCATTGAGAGTGGAAACCTAGTAATGGTTTGTTGTTTTCTAAATGTATTTTTTTAACGAAAAATTTGTACCTATAACATGCTGGATCTCGCATCGCTTCGGGGAATACTTTACGTGTCCAAGGTGGTAAAGTGAAATTGTACAGCGTCTCTATTTTCAATGTAGTATAAATTGATACTATATCTTCGTAATCATTGATTTTTTTAAGGGTGTTGACAGTGAGGTATCTGGCAAAAAATACATATTGAATTCATAATAATCAGAAAAGTACAAGCAACTATTGTGTTTCCAGTATTATAAACATACTTCATTAGATCATTATATTTACTAAGCCTTTCTTTATATGACTTCGAGTTTATGTATTTATGTTTTTCTTCTATGTACGGCTTACATTTTCTTTTCATGGCTAAAACTTCATCATTATTCTCTGGAATTGTATGCACAGGAATCGGTTGCCAAGGTATATCTTGGTTCCACATAGATTTTGCAGTTGGTGGATACATACCTATAACCAAAAATGTATTATTATAGCTAGTGTTTCATCCACATCAGTAGTTAGAGAAAATAATATTTTACTTTGTGGTTGGAGCAAATTTATATGTATGTATAATGTATAAATAACACCAAAAAATTAACTCATTAATATAAAATCAAATCAGACAATAAAATCTTACATACAATATATCTTACACATTTTTAATAATATGATAGTCATATTTAAATGATAAAGTAAGTAATTAGTTGATATTATATGTAAAATGATAAAAGTATTATACCTGCTAAATTTGCTTGTGCCGACATTAATGTGCGATCAACATCAGTAGATCTAACATATACAGTACTTGGGTCAAATTCCTCAGAAATGAGATTCTGAAATAATGAGAGAGGACACTACAGTCATTAAAAGTGAATAATGACAAAATGTCACTGCTAATCATCATTAGTCGACTAATTTTATATTTAGTATAGGAGATCATTTATCCACTCTGAATTACATAGAAGAGCAGAAGAGTGAACCAAAAATATGATCAATTAGCAAAATGACATCTCTTGAATAATAATAAAAAAAAATCCATACTTTTATAATTTATTATTAATATCATTTAAAATCTAAATGTTAGTCATTAATTTACTGTATAATTAACAAAAACAGTTGGGAAAAAACATATCTTAAACACCTCATTTTGTCCTCCAATGGGTGAAACAGTTAGTAGATAATTTGAAATCATCTGGCCTTCTATTTGTCCTCAAAATAAAAAAAACACACCTATTTTAGTTTTTATACTAGCACTTACTTAGCAAGGAGTTGCTATTTCAATAAATAAAATATCATAATGTACATATTATTTAAGTTAAATTATTTACGCTATGCCCCGACTTTTTTGTACACTATTTACACATGCAATAATGTTTGTTCCTTGGATACAGCTCTTCACACTAAATGACTTTGTATGTGACCTACACTGACCAAATGGTACCAACTATAGAGTATACAAAAGATATTTAAAATAGACTTCCGTATAAAAGATGATTATGTTTTATGCTTACAACATAACGCCTCCGAAGCCACTTTCCTAGCTCATAATGCTGCATTTTGCCAATGTTTGTTAATTCACCAAATTTAACGGGCCACAAGGACTCATTACGCCAAGGATCTGTGGGATATGTATCAACGGGAGTTCTATCCCCATGTCGGTATATAACAGCAGCATAAAGTACTGTACTTTCACCAAAATTATTGAAATAAAGAACAAGTAAAGTCACTATCTTTAACATTTTCCACAACGGTGTACAAGGAATCTATATAATCAAATATGTTAATCAATGGGTAAATATCTATAGGCAGACACTGACAATTGACATCTGAAGTCCACAGTTTATATTAAATACCACAGAGTTGACTTATACCGCGCAGATTATTAATTGTTTATCACAAGCTACGTAAAGCATTGGGATGCAAATTAATCTTTTTATACGTTGATTATGCTACCTGATGTTAAAAAATGTTATTTCGTAATTAAAGAGATTTTATAAAAAAGAGAAAAATTTTATAAAATCTTCCTCTTCTTAATAATTTGAACGCTTTTCCATTCTGAATAGATTCTGCTAATGTTGTGTGTGAATGATAGAAAAGACATAGCGTGATAGTATAAATTATTATAGTTATTTTTATTTGCTTTTTGAGCAATGGTATTAAGAAAAATCACAGTATTTAAAATAATGTATATTATATTTAAAAAAAGGTTGGAAGCCTTAACCGATCGGCGCACGGATAGGCTTATTAAAAAAATAGAATAGGTAATAGAAAATAAAAATTATAATTAAAAGTAAGAAATATTTATTGTCATAAGTTTTAAAGTGTAGTATTCGTAATAAATAAATTAATTCGTAATAAGAAAGGCTTTAACACTTTTCATTAATATTTTATAATATATTAAAAAAGAAATGTTCACACTCGTATTAGGTAGGTGCTAAAAAACTTAAAACATAGACATACAATATTATGTGATAGATGATACAGGCGATAAAACAAAAAATAGAATACTTGATACACTGTTGATCAAAGTTTAACATTGTTGGAGTTAATAAAATGCGCTAAGATTGTAACTAATATAGCCGAAAGAGAAATTTCATAAATTATAATGAAAGATGACATGTATTTGACATGCCTATTTTCTAGCATATACGATGTTTCAATTTTGAACTGTCAAGACGAAAATGTGTCAATTAGAAAGATAAATTCGTTAACAACTTAGCAATAATTTAACTTTCATTAAATTTTGCTGAATATACAAAAATATATTATGCTTAATTTAACAAAATTAATGTAATCTGAATATAAATGTATCGGATAATATTAAGCAAAAATGCAACCAATAAATTAAAATAAAAAATGCAATATTAAAAAGTTTCTAATTACATATTTTGTTATTTAAACCTACCTACATGTTTACATTTTAGGAGCAAGATTCTATAGACCCTACTTCCAAATGTCTAACAGATTAAGGTTTTATAAAATAGTAGATTTTTTCATAACTGGGGCAAATGGACTAAGATATTATAAGTAGAGGTCATCTACTTATTACTAATCTCGCTTAAAATTTGATTGTTATATCGGCGTACCGTGAAGAAAACTGTGTCTAAACTTGTTTGTTTAATTTCCCTGGTTCGGTACCCACTGCAATAGGAGGAATTTAAAACGATCTCTGCATCTGAATCATGATAATAAAGTAAAGTTACAGTTTCAGTTTTAGAAGACTAGACGGATCGTAATACACATTATATATGTCTGTGAAATATTTGAACAATAATTTTTTAAGTGGTGGCTTTAAAACAAACTGTACAAAGTGGACTATACAAAATAAATAAATAGCATATAGTACGACTGTATCTAAAACGGTCTAGCCGTTTAACCGTGTTGTAAGAAACATACATAATACGGAATTAACTGGGCCATGTGCAACGTCACTACAGGATTTTCTCTTTTCAAACTTTAACAAATGCTAAGTGTTATTATGTATGGAATGCCAGGTATGTGTTGGCGGGTGTGCTACGCCGAATACCAATCAGGCTAGTCCCCAACACTAGCGCTCTGAGACCTCTGCGACGACGTGGAAAGGCAGAGAGTACTGAAGGTGTTGCTTTTGGAACGGCAGATCAAGCGTGGCCGCCGTGAGGTGTGGACCTATACACTCCGGAGAAAGGAGCAGAACTAGTACCTTTCGCAACACACTAGTCAACATGAGGATACTCCCACTGTAAGTAGTCTTATCTATATTGTTCTTACGTTTCGTGGTCACGTACAAAAGCGGAACTCGTACAAAACTATGCGCTTGCATTTGCGATGTATTAATGTTATAAAATGCAGTGATTTCGGGAGGGAAAATTTAAATAATTACAAATATCGAACACCTGGACTCACTGCTGTGCGATCGTAAACGACAAGTAGTTTGTAACACTCTTAAATGTAACAACTGGAAAGGGCAAACATTCGTTATTTTTTATTTAAATAATTAATATTAATAATGATATTGTAAATTAAAACCGTTCTCTCATCAAACATGGTGATATGGGGTTTTTTTAATGTTTGATTTTTAGTTTTAAATTCTGAATACGTCAGTTCTTTACAGATGTTACCTGTGCCTTATTTAATTTTATAGCCCCTAAATATAAAAAAAATACAAAATCCCTTCCTTTTTCGCATAACTACGGTATCGGTATTTAAGAAACATATATGAATTTGAAATTATAAAATAATATAGTTATTTATAATGTTCTTAAAACATAAAAATACTATTAACCCAATAGATAACAGTGACTAGAAATTCAACATATTTCATAATATGATTGACTCATAAACCCATATATTCTGCTTTGACCTAGTGCAACACACAGAGCAATTAATTTTCAAATTTATTTGGCAAAACTGAGAACCGGTTGAATGGATCGAATCCCACGTTGAAAGCTAAACCCGCGACCTATGATTAAGAAATAGTAAGTTTAATGCAAGATGAAGCTACACAACATTGGCGGTGTAATAAGATATTGAGCTTTCTGTTTTAAGTCTCAGTTAAATAGACGTAACGTTGGCGGTGTTTTGAAAGAAAGATCACGACTTGTTGCCACCTTCAAGCCTTACAAATGTCAGTCCCAGGATAAGATTTTATTGTGACAAACAAAATTTGCTATTCTCGCTTCTATGTTTAAGAAAATAGAGTATATTATGAAATAACAGATGAGCAAAGAGCTTTGCCTTTCTGTTTTTCATAGGAATGAAACTAGCTAATTGAAGTTATGCAAACAGATAAGCGAGTTATTTATCGAAAGTACGATATCTATGAGTAACGTAACTTTTAGTGTTACATTTTCGAAAGGGTAAAAAATATATTTAGAGTTTGAACAGATATTATAGTTGGGGTTTGGGGTCATGTCATCCGACTTAGCGATTCGGTCTGTAAGCTGACATTGTGCGACAAAGTGACAATCATTAAAAATACGAAAAATGCCATACTTGTATGTTGTATGTTGTTGCCATACATTTAAACTCTTAAAAGGCGCATTGTTTTCAGCATTTACGCAATAAAATAATTAATTCAACAGCTCCTAGTAGTAGTTGGCCTCAATTAATAAAAGATAATGTATTGAAATTCTGTTACATTTACTCTCGTTATTTTCGAGGACTGTATTTTACGGTATTTTGCTTCAAAACGAAAGTATTAAGTTACTTTTAATGCTTTATTTCGAGCGGGTTTGCAAGTGTTGAGATAAACTATTAAATTAAGAGAACAATGATAGTGTCATTCAATGTTGACTAAAAAACTTTCTTAAATCAAAACTTTTAAGAAATAAATATTTTAAATAATGAAAATGGATCTTAAACTTTTACATTAGTCAAGCCACGATTATAAAAAGTTCGTTGTGTGCGCTGGGAAAAATATAATAAGTATAAATACAGTTACATGAAGGTACTATTTGCGGTAGCATAGTACATTAGTCCTTTACGATCCCAATCGCGGATTTACATCACCCATCTTTATTAAAAGGTGAAACTTGAAATAATGTGCGAAGGTGTGAATGTGCAATCCCTTGCAACTGCACACAGTTGTGCTGAAGGCCTGACAACAAGAAGATGCGCTCCAAAATACGTTGCTTACCCAACCCAGCATTACGCCAAAAGACATTTGGTAATATATTGTTACTCAACCAGACGATTGACATTTTGTCTGCAAGTCACCCGGAGCATCAATTATTTTGCACCAACTAACTATATTGCGTCATTGATAAACAATTTGATGCGTACGCGCATAACCTCGTTCTTTTCATTTGTTCCCATAATATTACCAAATCGCGATTGTGCTGTGGGAAGATACGTATAGGCTTCACAATATGCCCCTTTCCATTCTTGATATTTTGCAAGTTGTAGATATGCTAATGATAACGGCAAGAATTCAAATTGCGTAAATAACGCTTAACATTGATATAAAGACTTAAATATTAGACTGATTAAAATCAAACGAAATAGTTTAGTGCATAGTGACCTCTGTTGTTTCGTTGCGATATCGTTTTTAAATCGTTCTATGAATAATGAGTTCGATTGACGTGCTCCATATGTTTTCAGTCTCATCGAAGGAAAAAAGGGGTGGTAGAAGATATCAATAGATCTTCCTATCTTGTTTTATTTCATTAATGGAAAAGGGAACTAGATCAAAGGCTGTAGTTCACCTTCCATCAAAATAATCAACCTCATACTGGTCTGCCGTCTTCCGTCATACTTCCTTTCATATTTACATGCGTCATCAATCATGCGCAGAGTATGTATCTAGACACGACACTACCGCATTGTTGTCGAGGTCACCCCAATTTGCACCACCTTTTTTAAAACCAATACATAATTTTCTCTGAATATTTTTTTATAAAAAAATTAGTATTACATTTATTGTCAACTTAGATTAGGTTTTCTGTAAGTTCCGACCGCTGGGCACAGTCTTCTCTCTCTCTCTCACCCCTATCTCTCTTCATCCCCGAAACATAAGAAAATTTTAAAATTGCCTGCCCAAAGATTTCAACCTGGAGTCATAATCTGTAGTCGAGGGTGAACTCTAAACGACTTTTTTCACTTCTGGTCTGTTTATAATCTTGGTGCAGTCTCGATCTACTATTCACATGACATAGTGAACATAGAAAGTTTTACTTTTACCGACGTGACGTGAAGAATCAATTCAATAATTTCCAATGCACACAGAATACCGAAAGTATTGTCCATTAAAATATCTATTGTATCATATTGTTTGAAAGTTCTGAAGTTTACGATTTGTTGTCGGGCGAAACTTTGAAGTGGGGGGGGGGTTTAATCCCCGTGCAAGTTAAGCCATTCGGTTAACTAGCCCGAAAACTTAAACTGGAAAGTGGCAGGCCTGCGCTCTTAAAACTCCTATAACGCACAGTGGTGGGATTTTAATAAATTGAAACGTTTGAGATAAACGTTTATATAGCTTGTGATCTTATAGCTGCTGTTGGATACAAGCTATTAATATATACATGTCATTGGATATTGTGATATATTACATAAAATAGAGAAAGTTAAGGGAGATTGTCAATGTAATCGGAAGTGAATGCGGAACTTATCTGTCTATCAATCTGACCCGACCCTGAGATAAGACCTGTTACTCAATACTGTATAAAGTAACGAGTTAACCTTTAGCATCCATCGGCAGAACTCTCGTGTCATAGACGGCTATGAGACCGCGAGTTAATATTTGCATAGCCAGTATGTTGGTCTAGCTGCCACGTTCACCCAACCTCGGAATGTTTATTGCCTGACATTTGAAACAATGATATGCACGCATTAAATCGATCACGTCGAAACTCGTATTTGAAATTACTGGTTGACCCGGCAAACGGTGCGGTGATTATTATTTTTAGGAAATTGTCGAAAAACATACTTAACCTGGAGGCTTGTATACGATAAAGATAGCATGAAGATAGAAAATATGGGTTTTATTATAGGAGATTAAAAAGTTAGGCTTGTCTCATGTTACAGTATTCAAACAATAAAATAAATGCCCTCAAAATTAGTAGGGGTGGACAGATCTAAGCCAGAGCCTATTTATAGGCTGCTTAACAATCGGTTAAGCCGTATCGTGGTGTATTGAACTAACACTATGACATGAGAAATTTATATAATATATTAAATTTGAATATACAGGGTGAGTTTTAAGCCAGTTTTCGTTCGTCCGTAATTTGAGTGCATATGCATTACATTCTTTTAACGCATACCTACCTTCAAACATATACCAAGACACCTTCAGGTATAAATATCGTTTGCCGAGGAAACGTGGTCATAACCAGTTTCGGTTAGACGGGGCACAAGCATGCCCCAAGAGAACACGATTTACCGCAATTGTGTGACGGTACATTAATTTATATATACAAGTAACATAGTATAGAGAATGTTGTAATCACATATTTGAACATTAAAGGTTGAATGTACAAGGACATGTATGTAAAAACTAGCCACGCGAATTTAGCTATCGTTATTGAAAAAGCACGTGCTCTTAACTGTACTATGTCTGATATAGGATGATACGTATGATAGCTAACGCATATGAAGTATGCATATTATACTTTAGTACAATATGAATAATATCGTACTTTTTTGAGGGTATCGTTCAATAAATAAATAATAAAGAAGACTAGATATTGAGGCGTCTTATTAGTACCTATTTTATGTTTTTTAAATAAGTATACAAAGTTCAATTTACATTTGTATGAAGTAAAAAAACCTAATAACTTCACATACTACACACAATACAACATATACATTGCATAGATATACCTTATAAAAACACAAATACATTATACTATTCCACCCCCATTGTCAATTGCGAAACTTATCATCCTATAGTATGCAACATTATGTAGGATCATAATATAGGTCCCTGACATTTAACTCATAATGTACACCTCAATCTTCGACGGGTCATCATTTAAATTAATTAACATTTTAATGCCATATTATTGTTCGTATTGTTACTTAATAACATTTAAGTTTACTAGAAAAATTACTTTTAAATTTGTTACATAAATATTGGAAAGCAACATGATATTAATAGGATGTTTTAACATCTATTTGAATTCTCCTTACATAACAAGAAGCGTCTTGAAAGGCAAACCACATATTTGCATAGCAGGCGCCATTTTGATTCTATCAAGATGGCGCCTGATATGCAAAAAATTTAACTACCTAAAGTATAGTATCAAATATATATTATTAACATGTAAAGTAATGTATTTACGTAATATAATTTATACCTATTTTTATTATATAAAATGTATGAATGAGTTTCTTCGTGGCATTTCTAACTTATACATTATCTTCCTTAATTTGTTGGAATTTAAAATATCGGATAAAACGCAAACAGTATTTATTCAAAGTAGTCTTTAATGTTTAAATAACTAGAGGTCCTAGATTTGAATCGCAGAAAAATATATAGCTTTAATACGGTTATATCTTTGTAAATTAATAAATCAGAAATACGTTTGCCCTAATTTACATGAAATGGCAATAAAATAACACATTGACATTTTCAGATTAGTACTTCTATTCTGTTTGGCGTGGGAGGCGACGGCGCGACCACAAGATGATTCGGAACCCAGGGCGATTCCAGCCAGGGGTCTCCTGAAGAGGAACTTAGTTGGCAAAGGAAAACCGACCACAACTACAACAACAGCTGCCCCTCAAGTATGTTTTTTTCTTATTCTCTTATGTTAAGAATTTCTATTCTGAGTTATGCGTTAAACTAACAACTAAAATAATAATTATATTCTAAGCAAATCAGTTAAAAATATTCTTAATTTAGATCTTCTTAGATTTACTTTTAATAACAGTTTGAAGCGTGTGAAATATATTACTTGTTTATAGATAATTTATTTTTAACAACGACCCGACGTTTACGTGTGGTTGGGGAAAAATAAATCTATACTTTAATAAGCTGAAGAGTTTGTTGTTTGTTTGTTTGAACGCGCTAATCTAAGAAACTACGGGTTCGAACTGAAAAAATCTTATTATGTTGGTTAGAGCATTTATCGAGTAAGGCTATAAGGCTATAAAACAAGCGAAGATACAGCGAGATATGTGAAGAAATCTGGGAAACGCGACGCTATATGTGTATCTCTTAAGATTATCTTGCAAGAACGGCGGGAAGGGACTCGACCGACGTCGTAGGTAAAAACTAATTTGTTGCCCGAAATAACTATTCTATGCGAACGAGTCGCTGGCTCAGCTAGTTAACTAATATTTTAAAAATTTGCCTACCGACAGTTTTAGATTTTTTTTTCGTTATTAATATAGTAAAAACTAACTTACGCTTTCATTATAACTGCGTTCAAATCGATTTGATTTGAAGTATAACTTTATAAATCCAAAGCACACCAGTTTTGAAGCCCCTTCAAATCTTCCTCAGAAACATATAAAATACCTCAATATAAAAGAGTAATATAATGTTATATTCAAGAGTTGATTTTCCGCATTTCTGTTTGAAGGTCGCTAAAAGTAAATGCAACATTTTCATGCACATTAATTAATTACTAAATTGAAGTAGATCTGACTTAGATCGTAGCTACGATAAAACGACCTTATTAGTGTTTCTACATAATTAAGTAAATAAAATTATATATTACACAGAAGGGTACTCGTTCTTGAAAATATTTAATTGCCTGTTGCTTGTCGCAATTTGCTGTACGGCAATAGAAATCGTGTGTCTGCGCGTTTAATACTAAATATTATGTATGTATTTAACAATGAGTGAAGATATATATAAAGTATTATCTGTTAATATGTAACACGCTAATTTTAGAAATTTTGGTTAGACAATGTAAATATATTGTTTTATTTGCACCGTTATTACATAATAACAACTGGTACATTATGGCACTATAAGTACAAGATTTGCAACATAACAATATAGTTAGATAATATAACAACAGATGTCGTTATTGTAAAGTGAAAATTTTATGTTTTAAACGCCTGATATAACCAACATTAAAATATTAAAAGACCCCTTCTTACTTTTCAAGCAGTAACAGAGGAATGTGTGAATTGTTTTTTTCTTGATCAATTTCATTCTAACTTCTCAAGGATATTAAGTTTATTACACGATCACTTAAGATATAATCATATGTCTAGACCTATGACGTAAACATGCTTATATGTTTTCTTTATCCTGTTACGCAAATTAATGAGATGTCATTAAAAAAATATATAATTTTTAATCTGACTTTCAAGATATTCATAATGATTATCTAGATAATAAATGTTAATTAATTTAAAACTTATACGCAGACCAGAAACATCCTTGTCTTTTGGTCTGTCGGTCTAAAACTTGGCTTTCAGTGGGGCAGGTCTAAAATATTATAGACACATGTGTGTGAAATCCCGTTTCCCCTCGGGGGGCATAGGGCCAACACATTCCTGGGTCCGTTTCATTAATCGGTTTTATTCAGACTTCTGTGCCCTGCCCCGACCGAAATAATTTACTGTTTCCCCGGGATTCGAACCCAGGACTCCTCACGCTTAACGCAATGCTAAGCAACACGTTTACCCATTTAGCTACAGAGGCGGATCATAGACATAATATAGTGGCGTCTTAATAAAAACGATAGAAATGATTAACTTTTGTGCATCTAATAAATTAAACCAAGTTTTACATACAAAGGCGGTTTTTCGAATTCTTTATAGCAATAAAAACTTATTTTTTTAAATTCCAGGCAAAGTAAAATGTAAGAGAAAAATACATACAATTTTAAGTGCATTGTGGACAAAACAAATTAAAAAAAAACAAAACAAAACTTAATAAAAAGATTTTAAAAAAGCACATTACGTGTTTACTAACTTAAGCAGGAAGAAGTTAATACCTTTAAAATAAATAGATAGTGACTTTATCATGCACTAGCTGTGGCGGTGACTTCGCCCGCGTAGATTAGTTATTTTGGGCATCAAAATTTGCATTGCATCATACATAGTTTTGGGTTTCTTGTACCGTTTTGCATCGCACACGACGGATGAATAATTTTCCCCGTTTTTCCACATTTCCCATTGTATCTTTCCTCCACATAGTTGCAGCGTAATGTTATACCAAAACTCTAACCAAAACAAAAATAATATTTCAATTCGAACCTGTAGTTCTTGAGATAAGCGCGTTCAAACAAACAAACTCTTCAGCTTGATATTAGTATCGATTGTTCGTATATTTTTATGTAAAGAGGTGGATGAAAGCTGATGCAACAAAGTTTTTAAAAGCATATAGTAACAATGTAAAACTCGTGATGCACATTTCGCTGTAGTGTTATGGGTATTTCCCTGTTATATGACACTCGAATCATTTGGTCCAAGGTAAGTCGGCCCGCCCTGCTTTTGCCGATGGACGGGTTACCTTCACGAATGACCTCCGCAGCTCCCGTTCCTCTGGCATTTCTACGCGACAGTACTTGATACTGATTGAACTGGTTTTTGTGGAATTATTGCGACCGCTATCGGAATTCACGTCTGTAATCTCCTTATTGTGACGTAAATGTTTTTCGACACCGCTGTACTTATTTGCCTTAATTTTTTTTAATGTCTACTTATATGTACATATTTAATAATTGTATGGAATACTTAATAGCAGTTACAAGTTAGGTATTTACAAGTTTGGGTTTACCGAATTTTGTCTTGTCTGTAGTTTATGCAAGCAGCCCATTTAAATTTAACAATCATGTCTAAAAATCTTAATAAAACACTTTCAACGGTTTTAAACGCAAAATGTACAAGGCAACTTATTTTAAACTAGTTATAGCAGTTCAGTTAATTCGCTAAAATATCATTGAAATTGATTTCGATTACTTTTGTCAAAGTTGAATAATACCATATACCAAACTATATTGTGCTCGAATGTTTGTTATTTCTAGAATCACACAAGGATATAACATAAATATGACATATATTAAAAAAAACTTGAACTCACGACATTCCGTGCTTTACGTTTAAGCTATCGTGTCGCTCTTGAAATCAACCTTTAAGAATTGTCTGTTGTTTACGCGAGTAGTACAATAAATGAAGAACTTAACGGTTAAAAACGCGAAATATATTAGTAAACTCATCTACAATTTATTTTTAACACAACTCGACCCTTTGGATGCTTCACAGGAACCATAACCACGGCGACAAGTGTTTGATTTAAATCATGTGACTATGAAATTTCTTTCAATGACCTTGAACAATATAGACGTAAAAAATCTACAAACAGAAAGAACATATGTGAATTGTCATTTCAGGAAGAAGGCGATTATGAAGAGGAAGGCGACTATCCTGCTGAGGGTGAAGCACAAGAGCCCTCAACAGAAGCAGCACCATCCTCGACTGAAGGCAAGAAACTGGTCGCGGGTGGAGTCCGGCCTTTCCGCAGTAACACTGACCTTCTAGAAGCTTTGAAAAGGCGGAGAGCGCAGGCTGCTGAAGGTAATATACCATTAAATTTAAAAGGTTTTTCTATATACTGCTGATAGATTTAATGAGAAAAATTGTCGTGTCGTTTGTAGATGTGTTTTATAAAGTTTGTATGTTAATAATCGTAGGAACCAACTCCATTTGATAAATTCTTTGTGTTAATAGTATTACCTATTAGTTTAAGTTATGGATGGAATTCTTATGGATCTTTTTTACAGATATATACATATAAATTATTAACATTCTTCTCATATAGTAAGAATTCAAAATGTCAAAATTTATGTGAAGTGATAACTTCATGTGAGAAGGTATGTTCACCGCGTTATCGCGTAACGCGTTACAGCTGCGAAACAACTTAGATTAGTTTAAGATATCACTTCTGAAGTTCCATTTATGTCCCCGATTTAACCAAAGACGCCAGGGAAGTTGTGATATTTTATTTTAAAATATATACAAACGTCTTCTTATGAATTTTAAAATGAAGGTTTTCAAGTCCTCGCCATATTGAAATTAAAAAAGGGATTTTTTTCAGCCAAGTTAGGTCATCCACAGCCAGCATCCGCAGCATCCCAGCCCCAGGATGTCCAAACTGAGGCACCAGTTAAAGCTAACTTTAGTAAGTATATTAATATTTATTAATTGTTTGGTAGGGTATTAAAAATAATATTTATACTAATTTACGTTTTCCTGAATCTCTTTTTTAATTTTTTTGTATATTACATTCCCTTGATTTCGATAATCAGGACTAAAACTATATAGATTTTTCCGGCCAGAAACCCGTTTTTCTCGCGCTTAATAAAATGCGTTATACGTCTGTGTTGAGCACGATATACGAATATGTATAATGTATGTAATCCAATTAATGATAAACAATATTTTCTAGGTAAAAAACGCTTCAATACAGCAACTCGCGAAACAAAGGCTGAGGATTCGCCAGCACCATCCAAGGCCAACAGAGGAAGGTTTGGAAGACGTAAGTTCTGATAATGAATCCACAAAATATATATATATTCGAAAAACACCTGAAGCACTCAAGCTATCTGTAGTTTACCTTTAATTATGACATTTTTGACGGTCTAAACCGCCGAAGGTTAAAATATTGAAATAAAACACTTTTAACAGTTTAAAACACCGTAGTTAAAGTAAATTGTATAAATCCTAATATATTACGCCTTTATTTAAATATGAAGCACTACTTATAACGTATGGTTAATCTGCGTTATCATTAGGGATGTACAATACTTATTATCATTTTAAATCCAATGTTTCCAATATTTATATCATCTTTGTTGATGTTCGTTTGTTTTCTCGCGGACTTTAAAACAGGGCTTAGAGAGACTTAGACTTCACATGCTACACATTTAATCACGAGAGCAACATTCTATCGAGTCAGATATTTCATAGTAAATGATTTCTTAATGCAATGGCATTTGAAGTGGCCACAACTTAATCGGGCATACCTTAAACGTAGCGGTTAATATCAAAATCAATTTAATTACATGCTCTACCGCGTTGCGTGTCACTTTGTGCAACCAACACAATTATGTTTCAAAAGACATTTTAGTGGAGTAGTTTAGATTTTAATTGGTTCGCATTCAGGGTTATGTATTGGACGTCACGGTGCTTTCGAGGTTTTTTTTTCTACTGTTGTGACGCGTCGGCTTCGTTAAAACACCTTCGGTTAGATTTAGGATGAAAATTAAGTATTCCTTGTTGATACAGTAGTAAAGTATAAAACGCTTTTAACAGTTTAATATCAACGATTGATATTGGCTGCAGAGCATTCGAAACTTCTAATATATATCGCGTTTTAAACCGTTAAAAAATCGTGACTCCTATACGTAATCTACATTTTAGTGAAAATAATATTATTTAGAATGAAATAGTATTTATTTTATGAGCTACTGCGCGATTGCTTTCAACCTGTGGCGATATTTAAAGAAAATCACAATTCTGTAGCTGAATTTGACAATTCGTACATTTATTACCTTCTATATGTTTTAAACAAATTTAGCTTCGTGTTTGGTTTATTTTTATTACATAGTTAGTTGAAAAACGAGTTTTCTATCGATAAAATGCAATAACTAACTAATGAGATGTATGGAGGGGTACCGATACTTTCCGATTAATAAAATCGTAAAAAAGTACCGTCATATTTCATCAAAATAATATAATATTTAGTAACACGTATCGTTATAACATCTATGTTAAGAACGTATCTAATTCCTTATACCTAGGTCATATTATAGACAAGGATGATTGATTGTTAGTACAGCTTTAGACGTTTTTTTATAGCGTCTTCAAGGACGGTCCAAGAGAGCGAGCCAGTAGAGGAGCAGAACGACACCGCGCCGGCAGTGAGGACCGGTAGGCAATTCCGACGTGGTGGGAACTAGTTCCTGGATCCTGTTTGTGATCCTAATTCCTATCATCCATTCCTATCCCATCCAGTCTCCACACGGCGAAACTTAACATAATAAACTCGGTGCAGCCGTTTTCCCTTGCCGTTAAGTAAGCTTTAAATTCCCCCATTTCCACCCTTTATTATCAATTATGCCATGAAAATTCCACACTGCCGCTGCCATCTCGCGGTCAAAACTAGAAAGTTCCGAATAAGCGATTTTATATACCTACTATTATGTAAATTATATTTCTAAGTGTTTTTAAATAAATAATTTAAAGTGTGTGTGTTATGTTATTTAAATTATGCCTCTTCTAGCTTTTTCAAAGAGCTGGAAATCATATACTCTTTTGAAAGGACTAATGGTATTTTAAGTAATTAGGTACTTACTAGCTGGTGTATGTTGGGATTCGGTCCGCATAAATGTGTGTGTGAAATCCCTTTTCCTCCTCGTAGGGCATGGGGCGGACACATTTCTGTGTCCATTTCACTGATCCGTTGTTTAACAGGCAAGTAGTTGATCAGACTTCTGCCTAGTGCTTAGTGCCTTTCTGCTTAGTGCCCGCCCGACCGAAACATTTTTCTTTTCCCTGGGATTCGAACCCAAAACCTCTCTCGCGTAACGCAATGCTAGGCAACACGTTTTACCATTTGGCTAGTTTAGTCTTAATCTACCACGTTTTCAGATGACAAGTCATGACGATTTTTTCTTATTTGAACATTAATTTGTAGCACGTCCGGAAATCAAACTATCGACCTTTTAACAAAAGTCCAATGCAACCACCGATATAAAAAATATTGTATGTATTGCTTTATGATTATGTCGTTTATATACTACCGGTATAAAACGGTTCAAGATATTAAAAAACATTAAGAAAAACATTTTTTTTTCATTATTAAAAAAAAAGTGACGCTATATGTCTTTCTTTTACGCTTAATTTGCAAGAACGACGGAAAAGGACACGACCGACGTCGTGGGTAACAGCTTAAGTTAATAAAGATTAAAATAGATAAAATTAAAACAATTAAAGTAATTGAAAAGTTTTATTATTAAATACAAAAGAGTGTTTGAATGAAGCTTAATTAATACTTCTTAATCAACTTAACGAAACGAAAAATGCGTATCGTATTTTAAAAATTATTATTGAACTTTTGCTAGTGGCGTGTTGTATGTCTTGGGTTTGATCAGATTCACTAGTTGTTCTGCTATTTCCTGGCCAACTCGCACTTGTGCTTCTTTCGTTGACGCACCTGAAAAACCAGTTTGATAATTTAATTGCGCAATCCCCTTGCTTAAAAATGGCCGCCTCTGTCCAAGCTCAAAAAGCACGAGACATCCCAGGTTTAAATTATAAAATGTTTTGGTTGGATTATGATTCTAACTATAAGTATAATTTAGTGTAGGTAATTTTCGATATACAAATTTGATAGTTTCTACTGTGGAGGTGTCTCGAATAACTTTTGAAATTCGATAAGTAAAAAATCTACCTAGATGCGGTGTAGCAATGACAGCTGGATGTTGAATGATCTGAAGAGTGAGTGGGTTCTTCGGGGGTTCCTCCTCAAACACATCGAGGGCAGCTCCTCCTACCTGTATACAAGAGATAAAAAAGAGATACAGAGAATATGTCATATTTGAAAAACCCTCAAAGAATAAGTAAGTTTTTGTTACGTCCAGGAACCAAAAAATATTTATGAACGATTGATTCCTCCTTAAATGATTTAAAAATTTCCGATCTCCTTTTAAGAACCGTTTTTATGGTAACTAAATTTGGTCGAAAACATCATACGCAAAAAAACGTTTGCCAGGTCAGCTAAGCCAAATATGTTTCGAATTTTAAACCGTAAAGTTGTATTATTAAAATAAAAAATAAAGTATATTTTATTTTCATTTATCCTCAATAAAAGTAAAATAAGGAGCAAATCATATTACTGGCAGGCGGTCTTGTCATTAAAACAATAATACGCCTCTTGAGACAATCTAAATTTCATAACTTTTTATTTATTTTTTAATTAATAGTAATACATACCGTTCCATCATTTAATGCATCTAGGAAGTCTTCCTCCTTTATAAGACCACCGCGTCCAACATTTATGAACTTCACTCCTTTTTTACATAAGCTTAGTGTGTTCTTGTTGATGAAGTCTGTAAGAAGGTTAAAAATAATACCATTATTTTATATATCAAATCAACCCCTTCATACAGAAGGAGTAAGGTTACGAAAGTAAAACGACAGACACAGCGAGTTTCTCTTAGCAATACGTTTATTGTATTATAATTATAATATGAAATAAAAATTCTAATCGAAATACTAATATTATAAAGCCGAAGAATTTGTTTGTTTGTTTCATTGCGCTAATCTCAGGAACTACTGGTTAATTTCTTTTTGTGGGTAGAGCATTTATCGAGAAAGCATTAACTCGAATTGAGATTAATAAATTGTCTGTGGATTTTGTTGCGTACGACGCGAACACATTTCAAACATGTGCGAATGAATGATTTTTCCTTAAATGATCTAAAAATGTCCGGGATAGTATGTGTCTATCTTTTCTGCCAGGAGGTTTGCAAAAACAAATTTTGATACCCAAAATAACTATTCTACGCGGACAAAGTCGCTGACACAGCTAATAAAATATAAGTACACTACACAGTATACACCTAATGCCCGATAACATACCGATAGCTGAAGTTTATCGTGGCTCTTGAGAGGTAATAAATAATGGAATAAATAGATTTGAAATATATGTTTTTTCTATAACATATAGTAAGACATATTATTATTATATTAGTAAAGGTTAACATACGAGATTAAATGTAGTTTACCGATCTTAAGGGTTACATTTTATTTCATTTGTTTAAATGCTCGTATTTTTTTTTAGTGAATTAATTTGAACATAAAATTGGTGATTGATATTTGTTATCATATCATCAGGTAAAAACAGAACCTGAGATAGAAAAAATACTTTTTCTACCAATTTTTATTTCATGATAGAGAAGGTCAGATAAGCACTTGATGGTTGGTGAAATTCCCTGGTCATATTATAATATCTAAACAAGCGCATCTTTTAATTAAATAAAACACTTTAACGGTTTTAAACCTATCTAAAAACCTAATTTAAATGTGTACTACTCGCGTAAACTATAGACAGTTTCAAGCGTATCTTGATGTCGACCTATTTAGGCTTTGGATATTAGGAAATCCACAAACTGAAACCCGGTCGGAATTTAGATATCCCTACCACACATTCAATATCTAGATCAACATTCAAACCGGTGGGGATCCAACCCTGTACCCGTTGATTTATAGCCGTACATTGCTACTATTACACTCACTAGGCCGCAAAAATTATAATTGTTTAAACTTCTAGATAAATTTCGTTAATATACTAGACACCACTTATGAAATAAAAGTTTTAAAAAAGGAACGATTTTTTGTGACAAACATTATGTTATAGCCCAGTATCCACATATCGTAAATTCCTCCTGGGTGTGTGTAATTGAAGTACTCACTTCTTGTTGACTCAATGAGTGGCGTGTGAAGGGTAATGTAATCAGCTTCGGGCCACACCTCGTCCAACTCCACTTTTTTAGTGTTCAAAGCCTCACACTGCTGTGCAGATACGAAGGGGTCGTAAACGAGAACCTGTAACAAAAAAGAATTTGTGTTAATTATTATTTTTTTAATGAGCGAGTGAGTGTATTAGACATAGGCTATATTTATATTTAATAACAGATTCATGTTATAAATTACAGCAGTAGTACATTAAAGTATTATTAATTTATTTTGCTCTTATTGACGTCATAATAAACCTTTAAAAAAAATCGCATAACATATAGACGGATAATAGTCCCTTTGGGGTGTAAAACGCTTGGGTTATGGGAACCTTTATAGCCCAGTCATATTAGGATTTACCTCGGTATTAAAGATCATAAGCTATAAATTGGAGTATACCTTTGTTTTGACACAAGCCACCATATTATCTATCACTTCCCTTTCATACCTAATATTAAGCCACGAAAGGACTTTAAGTTAAATCATATTGCAATTAATAGTAGTTATTAATAATAATTATAGTAAGAACGCAAAGGAGGAAGTATTAATACTCATTTTTGTATGTCGCTATGCATTTTAAACTAATAACTAACACACACTACTCGCTTAGGTGATCCAGTCTTTCGTATAATAAAATATACAAAGCAGCGGTAATAATAAATGTAGCCCGCATTCATGATATGAGATGTCAATATTCGGCCGATCCAGTATTCGAACCTGGGAGACTTTGTAGTAGTCGTTTGCTATTACTACTCGACCAGCGAAGAGGAAATGACTGAGATGTCACTAAGAAGATCTTAGGGTGATTTATGCTATCTTATCTATTAGAAATATTGATCTCTACATAATTTTTTTTATTCAACTCTAAAGTTTAGAGTAAAAAACTAAATTTTCTTTCCATTACATGTTTTTATCACTCAGATAAAACTCGATTCTAACAATTATTATTGCTTCGAATAGCACCGTAATCGCCGATATTATTAGTCGTATTAAGTATCAATGATTAGAATTTTCTAGACTTACGGCTAATCTCCAACTATTTGTGGAATTACTTTCAAATTTAAATTTAAAATATATGTCACTAGAATAAAGAATATTTACGGAAACTTTTTAAGAAAATTAAAATTAAAATGCTGAGGTGAATCTAATCTAAAAATTGTCAAGTTTATTACACATTGTGGCTCTATATAAATTAAGAATCAAAATAAAAATAGAAAAAAACTAGGTAGCTCAAATTGGTTACAGCAACAGCACGGAACGCTGACGAAGCCAGTTCAAGTCTCGCCCGAGTCGAAAATGTGTTTGATTTTATTTTCGATTTTTTATTATTATGTTTATTTAAAATGAGAAATCAATATAAAAGCACATATTACATTAAAAGCTGTGCTTTAAGATTCAGTTGTTCATTTCAAAGCAGTTTATATGTGTTGTATATTATATAATTGTTAATTGGCGAGCTATAGCATTTGGTGGCGTTTTAAGTACAATTCGCATTGCTATTCAAAGATATTGAATAATGCACAGGCTTAAGGAAAATTAAGTATTACAAGGATAAAGGAGACGGTGTAGCGCTCGACAAACTAAGGACGCACTTAATATAAGAATCTATTTTCGTTATCTATTTGTTGGAAAAAATATATATCACTTTTAATTGCTTTGCCATTATGATCTACAATATAACATAATTCCTAAATATTTCTCTATTCCTCTATTTTTGTCTGTCTGTCTCTAGACAAATATTACCTGGACAAGTTTTATACGGAATAAAGTAAGTCCGGAATTCGTATGTATTATGACCCTTTATATAATACATTTTGATTGTCTGTTGTTTTAAAAAGCTTTTTTTCGGAAAATCGATTCACTTCGTAACTTCGTCTCCATGACATCCAAAGTGAAGTTTTTCTATTGACATTAAATACTTTATAGGTTAATTATTTTATTCCAAAATTAGTTAAATATTTATAGTCTGTATTTGTTTATTGCTATCCTGTATCAAAGAACATAGTACGACTCGCTAAGCTGATTTAACTCATAGTAAATGTAAAATTCTGTGCTACGTAATAAACACTATTATAGGCATACAACAGACAGACATAGAGAATAACAGAAAAATAAATTATATTACTCCTATAGATTCCCTATACAGATTACTAAATGTATTAGTGTACAGAACAACAGTTTATATTACTTTGTTTTAATACAAAAACTTGAAAAGGTATACACATATCTGTATAGTTGATTAAGTAAACAACCGTAGTACCTTCATGCCGCATGCGATCATGCGTGAAGCAACAGCTGTTCCGACTCTTCCCAGACCAAGTATAGCAAGAGTTTTGCCACATATCTCCGTTCCTGTGTAAAGGGCGCGGTCCCATCTGCCGGCTCTTAGTGAAGTTGCAGCAGGAACAACGTTCCTTGCCAAGGCGAACATAAGTCCACAGGTGAGTTCGCAAGCGCTCATAGCGTTGGCTCCTGGCGCACTGAAGAAGAAGAAGTTGGTTACAAAGACTTTCAATACGGTTATACATATAAAGCATATTTTATGTATTTCACGAGTACACTTTTGTTTAAATCATTCTCATATATATATAAACCGTTATAATCATATAATATATGCATTTTAAAAACAAAATCATTTAAATTTAGAAGATTTTTTAATATGGAAGCAAAATGTGCTACTGTGAACTACAGATGCAAGTGAACTTCCATCTGTAGTTTACGCGACTAATCCTACATACGCAGAAGAATCGTTTTAACGGGTTTATTACAAATGTATTATTTAATTAAGTTTTAAGTTGAAGTTTTGGATGCTTTACGCCAGACACGCCTGCATCGAAATACTGGCGGTTATATTAACGAATATAATTTCAGTTCAAACCGTTAAAATGTGTTTTATTTTATTATAGTATTCTAAAATACTTAGGCGTTACGCCTGACGCATAGAGAATTACTTACTTGATAACCATAATATTTTTTTTTGTAGCAGCTGCGACATCAATGTTGTCTACACCGGCGCCAGCGCGAGCGATCACGGTGAGGTTCTTTCCCGCTTCGATAACGTCTGGAGTGACTGTCGTTGCTGACCGTACGACAAGGGCATTGTAGTTCTGTAAACAATCGACATACATAGAAGAAATCCATCGTGGTATTGCATCATGGCACAAAATAGTCTCACAGTCACAGTTCTGTCGATAACACTGGTCGATTTTATTTATATTGATAAGACTTTGTGAACGTCGAGGCCCAAACTAAATGTTATGTTTTCCGGGACTTGAACCTAGGAGCCGTTAGATATACAAACACATAAAATGGAACTAATACGGTCAATAAAATGTTGTCATGTTTGTTTATTTCGAACAAAGCGAGGAATGAGTTTCAATATTTATAATGTTAGCTATACGCAAGGTATGGGGCAAAGAAATATATGTCCGTATCACTTATAGGTAAGTGACCAGACTTCTGTATTGTGTCTTTTTAAAGTCATACAAGTATATATTATGTACAAATAATTGTACACAAAGTACTTACGGGAATTTCCTTAAGCAGTTGTTCCTTACTTATTTTGGGTATAGAGGTAACACTCAAGCCATGACTTTCCAATATTTTAGCACAGCTCGGACCAACACCATCCACGATCAACACTGACTTGATTGTCAACGTTTGTGCCATTTTAAACCTGTTTAAAGTATACCGCCTGTTAAAAACGACCCGACAAAATAACCTAAAACCCACCGACGTTTTAAACATGAAATCAAAACAATGTTAAAAGGTCAATCGGTAACTCGTAAACGAATTATTAATTAGGTATAAAAATAAACATAATATTAACGCTAGATTAGATAAAAGCGAAATTCACACACACAATCGTAAAATTTAAAAATACATGCACAATTGTAGACTACCTTTAATACATTATTTACATAGCCAAAATGTATGATGCCATTAACACTTACAGTATGAGATTTGTAGATCAGATATAACGTCTACCCGCTGCCGTAACTTATATGCGACTGTGGTCTTCGATCCTAATAAGCTGACTTGAATCGTTCGACCACTCTTGTTTATCAGTTGGTTCTATACAGCGTGTCCCTAATCTAATGATGTCTCATTAAGATCTTTACTTATTATGCTTCTATACAAAAGTAAATATAGTCATTAAGGAAGTATGGATTATTTAATTATTTGTCTAATTATCAATTTGAGTGAATTATTTTTTTGAAATTGGAACACTTAAAAACCGAGGCAAATAATTATAATACTATTTTATTTATTTATTTAACTTTAACAATGTACACCACAATTTTATTAATTCAAAACTTATTTTGGAGAGGCCCCCACCCCCCCCCCCCCCCCCCCCCCCCCCCCCCCCCCCCCCCCCCCCCCCGCCCCCCCCCCCCCCCCCCCCCCCGGGAAAAAAAAAAAAAAAAAAAAAAAAAAAAAAAATACCGTTTTAAAACCTTAAAATTTTTATTAAAAGGGGTTCCTCCCCGCGAAAACTAGGGACTTACAATATGAACTTATACAATAAAAACATACAATATTTCATCTTCTCTCAGTACCTATAATATTAACATATAAGGTAGCTATTTTTTTTTAAGTTCGTTGGTCAAGTGATCTACTCCCGGTTTGAATTGAGGACGAATGAAATAGTTATAATCGGCTAAGGAAAGGAAGTTTGATCAAGTAGCATATAAAACATTGATTAGTGAAATGGACACAGAAGTGCGTCTTCCCCATTCCCCAAACAGGGAAAATAGAAATTCAAGTAAGTATGTGTTAATAATTACCTATCTACACGTCTTATTTACTGTATAGAATAAAACAAAAAAAATATGCCGAATCATCTTCGCTTATATAATTTTGAATTATCTTAAATGATTGAAAAGTGCGTAAGTAGGATGATTTTTACATTTACGATAAATATCTGTATTTGTATGTAATAAATGTTAATATATTAGAAAAAATATGATGTCTCGTCAAATCAACATTTATACCGCAGTTGCTCGTCGTATAAAGTGGCTTGCAATTCTAACATCCGTTCAACAAACATACATTGAATATTATTACTGACCGCCGCCACAGCACAATGGTTAAACGCTTTGCCTAACAATATGTTAAGTTCGTGTGGTCTTTTGAATCCCAGGGAAAGAATAAATTTTATGGGACTGGTTGGCGGTTGGAGGGCATAGAGATCTGTTCCTCTATATAGAAAATATCATTTTCCGCAGGATTTGACTCCAGAATCTCGCGCTTTACGCTTTGTTAGGCTACTTTTATTGATGTAAAAGGTCACTTAAATAACTATGAGCTAATTCATTAATAATTACATGTTATCTACAATAATAATATATCTAGGAATACCCTCATCATTCATAATTATATTATACACTGTCGGAAAAACAGTCTTATTACAAAATGACTTTATTTATTTAAATTTTAGTTAATAGCTATATACAATTTACTTCAGAGTTAGATGTCAAAAGGAAATGCTATTTCATAATATATTTGTTTTCGGGTCATATTGACAAGTGATAACAATAAGTTGATAATAATTAACTATTGTAAAGCTGCAGAGTATGTTTGTTTGAAAACGATAACACGGGGAATAGTTCTGTTTTAAAAATATAACAATAATAGATTGACGAGGTTTTGTATGCGTTGCGAAAGCGCTTAAGTTTGGAAATTTCATAAGAAAATCTTGGACAGCATATTTTAGGAATTTTTTGGGACCTATAACTACTATTAAATCAGAGCACACCCGTCTGGTGATAAATAAAACTCTTAACCGATTAATTGACGTTGACAATTGAATAAGTGTCAACGTCAATTTTACTGTGACAGATTGACAGGAGTTAGAGGAAACGCGAGTAACACGGCGGGAAGTAGATAGGTTTTCACATGACGTTGTATTATTCACGAAGAGAATTTCTTTACATCATATCCACAAGTATGACTGATAGGCGAGTAAACAACAAATGTATTTGTGATATTAGTTCGAGATCCAAGGTTATCTTATTTAATTTAAAGAGCAACTGGTGAAATCCGCTTATGCAATACGCCTTATCGAAACCAAATTAAATTGGATGATACGAATACCTATACAATACTAGCTGACCCGGCAACATATGTATTAATAGCTGTTCCCGCGACTTCGTCTGTCAGAAGTTATTTTGGGTATCATATTAATTTTTGCTAAGAACCTCATCAGATTACCCAAGACGTAGCCCTCGTCAATTTGTTATTGTTTTGGATGATTTAGTTTTCAAAAGAATATGCAAGATAATCTGTAGGATATACTGTCGCGGAAAATTATTTAGATCATTTAGAGATTAATCAATGTTTAATACATATTTTTTTAACTTTTTCACAGCGGTCCCATGGGAAGTCTTCAAAAATGAATAGTATCTCCGTTTCCTTTACGTTTCCCAGTCGTAGTACTTTTTGGAATTAGCGAACAAACTAAAAACATAACAACAAACAAACAAATTAAAAATTAAACAAACTTTATGGTAGAAGACAAACTTAACTAAAAAATATCGGAAAATAATATAACGTTAACAATTAACACAGTTTACATTTTGTAAATGGTACAAATCAAATGTATACATTTTGATTTGTACCCATTTCGCAAATGTTTCTTAGATTTTTTATACGTCGATTGAACGTCTGTCTGTCAATAGGTGCATAAGAAAAATAAATAAATATTTTGTCACGCCTCGACGTCTTTTAATTTAACAGATTAGAGAAAAGAACCAGTTATAACTGGTTAGAGCTAATTCAAGCAAATTTTTGAAGATTATTTTACGCAGAGATGAGTGATAAGATACTCGTTTTATGTATAAGAGCCACTTTGCTATACCTCGTCACTATAGAAGAAACTAATTCCGATATGATTCTTGTGTTACAGAAGAGAATATTTAAATAAAACATTTTAACGGTTTAAAACGCGATATATTTTGGTTTTTGAGAATTATTTTTAACTCGGGCCCGACGTTTGGATGCTTTGACGTTTTGGATAGTCTCAAAAAAGTGGATAACTAAAAGTATATCGCGTGTTAAACCGTTAAAGTGTTATTTAATTTGTTGTTAGTTAAATATGTACTACTACTAAACTACAGAAGCAGAACAGACAAGCATGACTTCCTTGTCTATAAAGTGAAATTTATAGAAGTTGCGCTGTCTGACATTCATCTTGGCATGGATTGACTTTATTTGAAGATACCTTGGACGATGGAATCATCATGAAACTTTCCTATATTCTTTGATAGCAATTTACAATTACATATACGTGTCTGTTAAGTTTCGATGAAGTTACTACATTAAATATAATAAAAATATTTTTAAATCGAAATCTTTAGTTTTGTAGGGTTCTGGACGGACTGACTGGTAACATTACTTGGTTACAAAGCAACGGATCGTGTATTTAATTTCCTTCGAGTCCACTATGTCTATAAATGATTGTTGAAAATACTTTATGTAAAAAAAATAACCAACCGACTTCGAAGTGTAAATTAAACGTATTTCGATTTAATAAAATTGAATTTTTTTAACAAAATATTTTTCTAATATGTTATTGTTTTATAATTGCTTTAATGTACTTTAAAATATAGTGTGTATTTTGTCATTTGATACTGTAAAAAGGTTGGTGTGGATTTTTGTTTAACCAAAATATGTCGACAACATATTAGATTAATTAAATATTTTGATGATAAAAGGAACCCCTAATAGTTTAAAATAAAACAATTCTAGTTTAAACATTATCTTATTATTATTAAGTATATTATCACACTTACGAAAAGATACAAAACATATCACGATGGCACTAAATATCAGTGCTTTAGTTAAAACTTGCGACGATATTTGTATTTACTAAAACAGATTTATGCGGCTTAATGACCATAAATAATATCTAATGAGAACAATTCTGATAATAAAACCCAATTGAACAAATTCAGCGGTTTAAAACGCGAATTCTATATAATTCTTTACAGCCGATGTAAAAATGTCTGAGAGAAAAAATTGGTTGCTAATCCTTATAACCGCTAAAAGTGTTCGATTTAATTATGTGTTCGACAAGTGTAGGCACTGTACATTTATTTTCATATGAATTTTGTATGCATCAAAAAAAATCCTGTATTTTTATAAATCTCCAAAAACGAATGGTTAAGTTGTTGTATTATTATTAATTCTAATATGTACATAACACGTAAAAATTACTGAGTAAACCCACGACAATGAGGGCGGAAATTATAAAAACAAATCTACAAACTATATTCGAATTGATAGATATTGAGTATACTAAGAATTAAATTTAAATTGATTTGACTAATTTATGGCGCGACATAAAGACGAGTGGAAAATAAGGTTTTCGTAAATAAGAATATATATTTAGAGTCGCGTCACAATGGGCCATCCAAAATTACTTCACACGGTAATAAGAGAGAGGGAACAGGAAAAATGTGACATTGTGACGTCACACCAGCGGGGCAAGGGGATGTTGGCCATGACAGTTACATGACTGTGACAAGGACGGGGAATGGTAAAAATATAAAATGATGTAATGTATGGAAAGCCACTTAGATTGTTATTTTAATTAATTAGGTAGTTTTGCGCCCCTCACGGGTCTAACGGGTCTAGCGCCCACGCCGGCTGCCCTTCGCCTAGCTATCAGAGCATCGAGACCTCGAAGAGGTGGGGCTGGTGTAGTCTCAACTGGTGCTGCCGGGGGCTCCGTCTCACTCTCGGTTTTCTCATCACTAACACTCTCCTCTGTTGTCTCTGAAGATGCCTTCTTGGGTGCTTCTGTTGTGGCCTGAGAATACATATATGTGATAATAAAATACACAACATATATATAATTCAATAGTGCTTGTTCATATTGTAATAGTCTGTAATGCAATAGTGCTTCATCAAAATATGTTTAACTAATATAATGCGCGATCAAAGCAGATAGAAGATTTGAAAACTCTATTATGATTAATTCATACAGTACACGATGGTGATTTGAAAATTGATTATAAAACTGACTGTAGATGCCGGTTTAAGTCCTGCCTGATTCGTATTTTTTTTTTCATTATATAACTAAATTTTTATTCAGACAGAAGATTTTAGATGGTTTTTTAAACACTATAATAGATAAAAACCTCAGTGGAGGGCAACTTCCTCTTCAAAAGTGGGTTTTGTCTTCGCGCTGGTAGTGTAACCGCTACACGTGGTTTTGGTGAAGGTGAGACTTGAAGTCTGTTACGAAGTTTGATGCCACCCCGTGGAGCTTCCGGAGCTGGAGTTGGTGACGAACCCTGAAACAATGAATAAATATCGCCATTTTTGACAGCCGTACTGGGTCTCGTAATATACCTTGTGTTTTATGTCGGTACCCTTGATTTTATATTTTGTGATATTTAAAAGTGCTCGCGGCTGTGCCTAGTAAATATGGCTTGTCAATATTTACTAACAATTTAACATATCCCATTTGCCATTTTACCATAAAAACGGTACTTATGAAGTAATCTTAAAATATAGACATGTACTGTCGCGGCATTTTTTTTTTTTGATTATTTAAAGAGAAATCATTCTTTCGTACATATTTTTTATGTAGCTCTAACCTTTTTTACAGTGCACAAACCCTTTAAAAAAACACCCTCATTTTCCCATCGTTTCTTGACGCCTATTAGTCGCAGCATGACGTTTTATAGCTTAAAGCTTTTCTAAATCAGTGTTCCAACTAACACCTACATTTAAACCACTAGACAAACAAGTGCACAAACAAACTCTTCTGTTTTATAATATTAGTGTAGATAGTTTAAAATTCGTCTATGTTACTAATCTTACAATGTAGTATAAAAAAATAGTTAATGCATTTTACCCTAGAATAAATAATGTATTTATCCCTTTCACCTCTAATCGTTATTGCATATTCTGATACCGCTGTATATAATATAATATTGTGTCGTAACAAAAATATTTCTTGATTTTAATCAAACATGCGATCTCATTGGTTGTGGCAACTGTGAACACGTCAGCCTTGATTCACTTTCGATTCGAAGCAATGGACTGCACGTTATTCAAAGTGAGGTCAATGTCTTTTGTTTAGTCTAACTATTGACCTACCTATATATTCGACCTATCTATACTAATATATAAAGCTGAAGAGTTTGTTTGTTTGAACGCGCTAATCTCAGGAACTACTGGTTCGAATTGAAATTCATTTTGTGTTGGTAAGAGCATCAGGCAAGCAGCAAACATCACGCTGCGACCAAGGAGCAAAGAGACAGCGGAAAATCTAAAAAATAGGGCTTATTATTCATCTCTGTGGGTTCCGTTGTGTGCACTGCGAAAACGGTTCAAGATATCCAAAATATATATACAACAAGATATACAAAATATTTATGGAATAATCTGTCTGCCACAGAATATGTCTATCTTGTATCATTTACTCGACGGGAGGCCAACGACGTCAAGTAAATGAACCAAAATTGATGCCCAAAATAAACATTCTACACGAAAGCCACTGACACATCTAATATTTGATATTATGTGCTACGTCATTCTATATCGTAAGGCTAATAAAGACGGCTCGTACCTAAATGGTAAGACGGATAAATAAGAGAAGTTCTCGGTTCAAATTCAGAGAAACATAAGCAATAGTTCAAAGAGAATTTATGAGTTAAACAGATACGGGTTATCAACTAGTGAATAAACGTTATTAATTACGATTAGCGCTGATGAATATTTATTAAACTTGTCCAGTGGTTTTTGCTAGATACGCAAACAAACATTCAGGAATAAGTTTTTTATTCCTTCTGATTACGTAAATAAATATACCTAAACAAACGTTAATCTCTCTAACGTAAAGAGTTAGTAAAAAATACACGTCTTGTATTTTTATTAAACGTAAGTAAGATAAGACTGTTGGAATATTTCTATTCTTTAGATAAGATTACACAGCAACATCAGACGATGTTCAATTGGTTATCTACAATAAATAGTAATATTTGCATTATAAAAAAATGTGTTTTAGGCGAATTGATCTAGGTTCGTTACCCGGGAAAATGAAAAAGAAAACTTCGACAGACACACTCACTTACTTGTATATTAAATACTTGTAACACGTAAAATAATATGTGAAAAAGGCCAAGAGCTACTAACCTCATTCTCCACGTCGGTAGCGGGAGATTCTGGTGGTGAGGTTTCTCCTGGTGCATCGGAGGGTGCCTCTGTTGTGGGGGAACTGCCTACTCCTGGTCTCAATCTGGGGCTAGGCCTCAGGTTTAACCTTGGCCCAGGGCGTAGAGACACCGGTCTTAAGACTGGTTTGCGCCTGAAAGGTTTATTGTAAGTATTTAGTGCTGATTTCAACTAAAAAAGTTCAAAAACATAGATTAGAGATTTAAAAAAAAAAAAAAAAAAAAAAAAAAAAAAAAAAAAAAAAAAAAAAAAAAAAAAAAAAAATTTTCCCCCCCCCCCCCCCCCCCCCCCCCCCCCCCCCCCCCCCCCCCCCCCCCCCCCCCCCCCCCCCCGCGGGGGGCCGGAAAAAAAAAAAATTTAAAAAAAATTAAAAAAAAAAAACCGGTTTTTAACCCTTAAAAGGGTTTTTTTTAAAGGTGTACTACTCGCGTAAACTATATAGATTAGAGATTTTTAATATTTTTTTAATGATAGAGAAGGACAGACATAGGGTTCGATTGATGGTTGTCGAAATACCCCTGCCAGATGTGCCGTCGATCTGTTTTTGCTTTGGATATTAGGAATAATATTATTAAACCTACTAGTATCTTTTGTTATATCTTATGTTCTGAAAAATAAGTTATATACAACTATGTTTCAAGAAAATAAACATACAAAGATACAATTTGTTTGTATTAATATTTTGAAACCTCACTTTTACTTTCGTCCATCGAATTCAAAACAGGTCTTTCTATTCGCTGTGTATGTCTGTTACGCGAACGGTATAACAATTATGAGTCGACTTTGTTGATGATTTTTGTTTCCTTTTGATTATCACGTTTAAAACGTGATAATCAATTTTTATTCGTGATGTTCTTAATCCATCGATCTCTGTGTATTAGTGATGGATGTCTCAACCTAATATTTTCGGGGGGGGGGGGGGGGGGGGGGGGGAAAAAAGGGGTTTTTTGGGGGAAAAAAAATTGGGGGGGGGGGGGGGGGGGGGGGGGGGGAAACCCCCCCGGGGGGGGGGGGAAAAAAAAAAAAAAAAAAAAAAAAAAAAAGGGGGGGGCCCCCCCCCCCCCCCCAAAAAAAGGGGGAAAAAATAAATTTTTTTTTCTCGTACTTTTACGAGTTCATTAAAACTCGTTGTTTTATGGTTTTATGTTGTCTACGCACACAAAAGTTACCGTAATTAAAAGATGTTGAAAATATGTAGTAGCATTTAAAACCTTATTTGTTAAGAAGTTACTGAAAATAATAAACGAAAACCTTTGATTTAGGCGAAAAACTTGTACAACAGTTTTTTTTTTGGGATTTTTTTATAAATGGCTCCCATTCGTTTTGTCGATAAAATTTGACGTACAACATACTGGTAAAGTATATGCAGTCCGATCCCTAACAACCAGTATAGTTATTTAATACCACTGTAGGTCATTAGTTATACATGTTGGTTAAGCATTGCGATATGCTGAAGAGGTCCTGGGTTTGATCTGCTTAATGGTTGGATTGTCATTAAATCGATCTGTAAAACAGTCACGAAAATATGTTCCTCCATGCTTGCAGGCGAGCAGGCGGTTTCATTTTTTTTGTATTTACCTAGTGTTTGTAAAAAATGAATTATGCGTACCCAATACTTCTACCAGGTGTTGGTGTTGTTTCAGCCACTTCTCCTGACGCTGCAGCACTGACACTTGGGGAAGTGGTGTCGCTGACTTCAGCTGATGATGCAGCAACCGTGGTGGATGAACCGATTCTTCTCAATCCAGGTCGTAGACGAGCTCTTCGTTGAAAAAAAAGTTGCTACGTAAGTTATAAGTGTATAAGAGTTAGTTTAAAGATATACATATAATTAACGTGGACAATTTTTTTACATAAAATGAATGACTGTTTTCCTTTTTTATACGTATACGAACCGTTTTCGCAGCTCACGCAAAAAAAACTCTCAAAGTTGAATAATTTTCCCCGTATTTTTCCGCATTGCCCACTTTGGTTATTTTCTTCTATTGTTCGCTATTTTATAGCCTAGAGCCTTCCTCGATAAATGGCCCAACCGATACAAACATTATTTCAATTCGTACCAGTGCTTCCTAAATTTAACACTTCAAACAAACAAACTCTTTATACTTAATATTAGTACAGATAAATAAATACTTTAACAATCATTAATGAACATGCTGTTAAGAGTAGGTATGTTTTTATGACGATGACTTTTGAAATATAATTTTCAGATAAAAACGAAATTGCTGATATAGAATGACACTGCCTTATTTACTTGATAACATTTGATAATATGTTTTTATTCATTTCACCAAACTTTTAAGTCATTATTCCTACCAGGAAGTTTGTAAAAATGGTGAAAATAATTTTGCTTTTATATTTAACGACTAAACTTGACTCGGTCAAATAACCTATTAACTATATACCTGGGAACAGGCGCTTCACTAGCTACGCTGCTGCTTTCTTGAGCTGGTGCAGCAGTCGATGGAACGGGACGTGTGCGACCAGCGAACAAACCACCGCGACGTCCGAACGCCTGCGACAATATTTAACATACAATGGAATAATAATAAAAAAAATCGCATCGCATCGAATAAATGATTTCTATCAAATGACAAAGTAACGCTGAAACAACTTAATTAAAACATAACACAACTGTTAAAACGCGATTTACGTTTAAGTTTTACTACAACCCCTGCTAATAAATTTGCTTATATAATTCGCGTTTCAAACAGTTCAGTTTTTTTTGTATTATATACATAGATAATGAAAATATCTTTCAAGGTCATATTAAAATTCTTCTATCTCCTATTCATTTATTACAAGTAAATCAGTATTAAATTAAAACAAACCAAATGATAAATAGAGCAAAATCATTATTATATAGCAACATAAAAACTAGGCAAGTAGCTTTATAAATTTATTGTTGATCTTAAATGGAGATACACGTTTCATTCGCATTGCATCGCGGTCGCTAAAGCGTAGCCTTATATAATAAGTGATATATAAAGAAAGTATTAAAGATGCACACCTTTGGTTGTGATACTGGTTTTTCAACTGGGGCAGCTGAACTTGCCTCCACAGCAGCGGCTGTCGTTTTTCGAGTCCCATTTGGTTTTCCAAATCGGCCTGTCAACAAATTCACTTGCTATATTATCCGAAACGCGTAGATAAAATATACAAGAAAATTTCGCATTGGATCGCAAAGCAATATAATTCGCTACGCACACAAGCAATATGTTTAACAAGAAGAAATTTTATCGAGACGTCGCCATCCGGAGCCGGGTTGAATTGTAATTGTCGGATGTGACAACTTTCTCTCCGGTGGCAGTGATGACTAGAATGGATTTACCTACGAGAATAGGAATATTGGTTCTTGCTGATAGTTGTGTTCTATTATAGTCAATACTGATTTCAGGCCACAAACGGACAACAGAGATGAGAAAGAATACTTTATTTCAAATAGTAAATAAGCTCGAGACAGATGCGATGCCAGAAAATTGGAGATGTTGGTGAAATTGGCTAGAAAAACTTACGTCTAACCAGAAAAACATGTCCATTTTTAGCCTGGGATACTATAGAGAGAGAACGATATAAGTACCTCGTGCTCGTGTTGAGGATTCTGCTGGTGGTTCCGTGGCGGCACTGGTGGACGCGGCACCGACGCGCGATCTCGCTCCCGGACGTGTCTTGAATCGTGAAGGGCGCGTGGGTGCAGCTGTAGTAGTTGTGGTAGGCGCTGGAGTAGTTGTTGTTGTTGTTGTCGTTGTCGTTGTTGTTGGCGTAGTCTCCACTTCAGTTGTGGATACTTCCGTTGTCCAATTATCGTCTTCAACTGTCGTTGATCCATCGAATGATAGCAGATCGTTCGATGGATTGATTTCGTTATTTAAATTTTCACCGGCCAAGTAGGCGTACAAATCGAGGGCTACCTTTTCCATAGCTGTCATTGTAGTGTATTCAGTTGTGTCCTGTTCGTAAGTAGTTGTTTGTTTGTAGTCTGATGGTAGTTTCGAATCGTCTAGTATTTCCTGGTATATTGCACCACTTGAAAGGCTGTGAGCTTCTCTTTGTGAATCTTTAGCGTGAGATATTTCTCTAGTCGTTGGTAAAGCAGCATCTGTCGTAACCTTATTCTCTGTTGAATATCTTGATGGTGGCTCCTTGTATTGCGCTCGTATGTCGCCAGAATGTGTTTTGAAACTGTCAAGGTCGACGAGTTCGGAACTTGGTCGTCTGAAAATAATTTATTTAATATGAAACATTGTATACATAAATTAAATAGGTCTATGTTGACGGTACAATGTTTTAAGATCTGGTTTAAAGATGTGAGCATTTTATTATGTAATACAAATTATTATTACAAGTAGAATACTTACGAAAAGTACTTATGGATGTTAATATTGGATATAATAACATTGGTGCAGATTTTAAGTTACCTTATATGTCCACGCGTTCTACTTCTAGTTTGACCGATAGATTCATCGGCTACATTATCAGTATTTGTTCTACCACGTTTAACAGCTTCAGACGATACCTCGGGCACATATGTAGTTGAGCTTGAAGCACCAAAACTACGGCCTCGAGGTGGGAAACGTGTACTTGAAGGTAATCTGTTAAGAAAATGAATTTGTACGTACATTTATAAATCCTTTATCCAGAAGCATCCTTCAAGGTAGGGCACAATTGAAGCCTGCTGTATCAGGTACTCCAGTGAAAGTGGTGATCGAGAAGGTGGTATTAGTTTTTGCTACTACTATGTTATGAGTCAAACTACAATGCATCTAATACTACAGTGAAGTGCATCTACTTTTACTACAGTGATGAAAAAAAAAGATATTTATTTACCTCTCGACTGCTTCCTCCTGTACTGGCGCGGGCGCAACATTTCTTCCTCGAGAGCGGCCTCGTCCGGAGTATATCTCATTTTGTACCTCAGGCGTGGCAACTGTAGTCGTAGTTGATCTATCAGTGGTTATATATTTGCTCTTAGATCTACTATCCTTTGCAATGTGGTTCTCTGTTTCCACTTTCTGTGGTCCATCGTGTGAGTTGTGAATTGGCGATTCAGTACTTACAGGCTTTTCTTTGGGTTTACCTTCTTCCTCCTCGTCATAATAGTAATAAATATATTCATATTCGTAATCTTTTCCATTAGGACCTTTTTTGATTTGGATTCTTGAATGTTGCTTTTGTTCGGAGCCCGCCGTTTCAAGTTTGACATTTGAAGATAAGAGACCGCTATTAATGTCATCGATAGTGTCGAAATTAATGGGAATGTAATCGTAGGCTTTTGCCGCTACCGGTGGAGCTGTAGTTAAAATAGGTTTTTGTGTGGTAGTTCCTGCATTATTGCTCAATTTGCCAGATTCTGACATTGCCTCTAAAGCGACACCTAACCTAGGATTTGTGTCCACGTTCTTTAAGTTTTCTCTAATTTTAATATCTTCCAATTTAGATACAGGGACATCAATTTCGATAGACTCGGATGCTTTCAGTTTTTGTCCCTTCTTAAGTTGTACCTTTTTGTCTTCTTCAATAGAGACAATGCCCTCAGCTGCATGTTTTACTTTGCCACTATGCAACTTCTTAAAAACTCTATCATCCTCCTGCTTAGTAAGCCTGTGATTTGGGTGCTTATCGGGAATTTTATGAGAAGTTTCAAAATTTCTTATAGGTGTTTGCTGACCAGAGCTAACAAGGACGTATTCTTCACCTGGTCGTGGTTCTGTGATAATGTCCACTTCTGCGAAGGCTGTGTACGTCGCACAAAGCAGAAAACATCTGAAACAACAGATACATTCGGTTAAACGTTATTGTTGTTTGAAACTTTTTTTTTTAATCCTCGATCGTAGTACTATCAAACTATTATGCAAATGGAATAGTATGAATCAGCGATTGAATATTTCACTTCGCCTACAACTTCATGACAAAGGGACCCTGAATCTTTAGAGAATGCTATGAATCACTCATATTACGTCACAAACGATTGTAGTATATTTGCAATTCAATAAATGAACGCCGTTGTATTTTATAGTTGAAAAATTGAAACATTGTCGCAATAAACCGATTTGCATTGGCTTGAGTCACCGATATGCGCGGGTAAATTGTTACGCTATGGTGTAAAAAGTTATGAGAAAATAGGTTAGATGCCTACAAAACAAACACCGCTCGCTGCAATCGTAATAATTGTAAATAGACGATGTGGTCGTGGGATTTGATGACGAAAAATCGGAGCGTGGGTGTATTACGCATACCGATTCTGAACAAGTGCAAATTGGCGATCCGATGTAACTTTACGATCACTTTCGCTCGAGATACACTCTCACATGATACTTAGTAAGGCTCCAGTCTCATATACACGCAGTAGATGCTAATGTACTATTGACTGACGTTGACGCGCAGAAGCCGTAGGCATTATGCAACGTGTGCCGAAAATTATTTGAAAACATTCCATCGTAAATGTCGACTTTGACGAGAGCATTGTTTAATTTTTTTTACACGATACTTAATATAATTTAGGAATATAATTTATACTGCGAAAATCCGATGACACCGGCATCAATACTGCTGCTGTAATCAATACATAGCTATAAGGATAGTGACAGCAGCAGCGCAGATGGCTATGAATGGCGGTTCAAGTCCCTCACATGGCATTTATTATTTTCATTCTTAACAATTTTTAATTTTGATAAAGCGATCAACAGTGTTAAGATTTTTACGCGCATTTCTTTGTACTTAACCAACTGCGTATAGGAGACAGCAACCTAAACATTTAAAATAATCTGACGGCCGTTCGATATTGACCATTTATTGCACCTGGTCCGCCTCACCGAGTGACCAAGCGAAACAAGTTCGAAAGGAAAACGTCTTTCAAACGGAAATCCGTTGGTCATCTTTGGTTCAGTTGAAATTGATTATCGATATATGAAAGTGAGGCTTACTTATATGTGCAAATTTTTTTAATAGTCTTTGCCTGATCCAAATAAAAAAGTTACATCTTCTCTTCTCACTCTTCTGTGGAAATAAGGCTACTGTCGCTATACGCTAAATTTTATCATGTCTTTCATGTTTATCGAATCTAATAAATTCTTTAACATAATTGTTTGTAAGTTATATCTTGTATTGTGTTAACTGTTCCTGTCAAATTTTCAAACCCGTTGAAATCAGTATAAAACGGTTCTATTACTGGCTTCTTTTTGTCTCCAATCTAATATCTTCTTTTTGCATATCCTTAAGCTCCTTTGTTTACATTGATTTTTGTTACAATTATAGGCCGTTGTCGCTTTAAGTGTAAATTTTTTTGTACGCAGTTTTACCCTAGGCATTGTACCGTTCATTTATTATCTATATCCATTATCTTATTGGCACATTATGCCCCCAAATAGGAACTGCATAGCCAATTACTGCGATCGGAAGGCAATGACTTCCGGACTGTTTCAATATTTCAAACCGGGCGTTGGCACGCGGAAATCATTCGAAGGATGACGCTTTTGATTGCTCATTACAATTTGTAATTTTTCTTTTTTATTTTTTTATTGTATTGGTCATGAAACATTATTGCAGTTACCAAATGGAAATGTAAAACTTACAGCCGTTTTAGATGTATAGCAAAAACGATTTCACGTTGGTTCAATGATAGCAACGTACCTATGGTTTATAACCAACGGATCCTGAGTTTGATTCCCAATAGGTGTACACATAATGTTTATAATTTTGTAAAAAAAAATGTCCTTTCAAAATATCGTTTCGGACAGACCATTAAACTATATCAAGAAAACCTTTAGGCTATATACTATCACGTTGATACCTGTATAAATAATGATTCTTCTTTCAATGATCTAAGAAAATCCAGCAACAGTATAAGTCAATCTTTGTCTGTCTTGACAGGTAAGGACGACGGAATCCTTACCTATAATTTAAATAGTTGAGAAGGTTGTTTGCAAAAATAAATAACTATTTCACGCGGACGAGGTCGCGGGCACAGCTAGTATTCTATATAAATAACATGTGCATAACTGTAAGTTTTAGTGCTCAGCGGATAAACATCGTTTAGATTACATTGAAATAACGTAGCCTTAATAATTCCTTATAGAGACCAGTGCGCAGCGAATGCTGGTTGAATTTCACTAGATGTAAGGTCGCAGAGACCACAAGGCTACAGGGTAACGTTTCTACCTCTCATAATATCAATATTAATCAACTGCAAACGCAGTCTAGTGGTTACACTTAAGACCGCGACGGTTCTGGACCTGGTGAGATGTTACTTCGATAAGATTTTTCGTATCTCTATTACTCGACTGAAGTTAAAGTTGAACTATACCAATAATTAAATAAAGTTATTAATAATCCGTAGTTGACGAGAGTAGTACACATCAAAATAGTCCGCTTTTAACTGTTTAAAAAGCGAAATATAATAACTTCGGACATCCATCGGACAGAGTACAGAACTCTGATCGTATTTCTTTACATACAGTGCAACGGACATTTGAATGTGTCCCAATACATATGGAATACAAAAAAAAATGTTATAGGTACCTTAAAATGACAGCAATTTAAAAGTGTTGCAGTACCCGCGTTCTATTTTATTTAATCATTCAAGATTATATTGACTATTGCTTACGGCCAGCCTAATTAGGCGACCTGGTACAGTTCAAAACGTCAATAATAACGTGACACCATTCTAACATTCATAAACACAAAGGTCACGGGAGGAACAACCAGTTCTCTGTGAAGAGTTATTAAAAAGCAATATCTCTCGTCTCTTCATAGTATTCCGCAATATGCAAAGTTGACATTTAACAATAAAGGACACTGATTTGTGTATACTAAATAGCTTACTGCCAATAGTGAGGTTCAAGGTTCAAATCCGGGACAAATTATAGTTATATATGGCTATTTCCTCACTCATGCCTCGAAGAGAACGTTAAGCTCGGAGTGAAAAGTGACGGTATTCGATCGAGTCCACCAATCCATACTGCAGCAGCTTGGTGGGTTTTTAGCCTCTCTCATGTAAAAAGACGCTTGTGCCCAAAAATGGGACATTAATAGCTTTATTAATACGTTTCTACGTACGTATAGAGATTTGCAAAATTGGTGTTTATTTTTTCGAAATCTAGTAGGCAGTAAACGAGCGTGTTTTGCCTGTTAAATTACTAATTAACCTTTATAAAATATGTTTCATAAATAACGGGTTTTAGGCGACGTCTCAAAATTACTTGGACGAGCTAATTTTGATCGATATTCTGATAAATGTTTAGTGCGATCATTAAAAATAATGATTTTATTACTTCCCGTTCTATTCGTCTACGACGTGACAATTCAAGTTGTCTAATAAACCCGTTTCATATAAAAGTAAGAGTGTAGAATCTATGTTATTAAGACGAATTATTGTGATGATTTCTGAAGAGTTTGCGTGTCTATTACTAAAGGCGTTAACTTCAGAAAGCAGTGTTTCAATTTCACAATTTTGTCTCTGTTTTACGACTATGACTGGTGTAATGGTAGCAATGTATAGCTAATATTCAACGAGTTGTCGTTGCGTATAATAATAATTATTAACAATAATTTTTCCGAGACCTGTTCGACTTGGTTGTAGAAATATCAAAACTCCGCCCGGATGACGAACAACTGTCCACAAACACTGGCCTTCAAGTTTAATCGCGTTTCGGTTTCAGTCGGTGTATTTCTGAATATATAGGCCGACAGCGCATCTTTTTCGTTAGGGTATGGGCATATCAACGTTCATCAAGTACTTTCTCCACAAACCCATATCTGTTATAATCGGCATAAGCATGTTGTAATTGAAATAATGTAAGCTCCAGCGCATGTAAGAAGTATTCAAAGTAAATATTCGCAGAACCTGTATAACTTTTCACGATGATTTGTGAAGCACAGTTGCATTTTATACCGCGGTCGACGACCGTCCCCATTGACTCACCAGCCGGCGAATATGGTAGTCTTGATGCCATAAAGGTAACCTAACGTTTATGTAATTTACGATCGTTGTCTTATCAACATCTAAACACAATGGGTCGGGTAGTTTGAGGCTAGGGTTGACAAAAGGCTCTGAATGGAAAATTTCAGTAATCTTTACTAATATTATCTAAGGAACTAATGGATTGAATTCTTTATGTATTGGATAGAACATTTTTCATAGAAATTTTTCAATTCGAACACGTAGTTCCTGAGATTAGCGCGTTCAAAGAAAAAACCTTTCATACATTAGTATAGATTAGGTTATCATCCTTGAATTAAAAGTGGAACTGAGCCAAGTCTATGCCTCTATAGAAGTCTTATACAATCTAAATAAGTTAGGAAAATAATGAAACTTTATTCAACGAGTGGTTGAAAATGTACCTTGTAGCACGTGTTCGTTTTGTTATTCTTGTTTGGAAATTTCGCCTTAAAATTTGTAAACAAGAATGTGAGTCGGTGAAACCCGGACTTCGCACTTTATATAATTTATCTATCCGGATTCCGGATGTCACATTACATAAGACCGCTGATGTTCAACGTTGTATTATGGCTTATTAAATCACTGTTTTTCGTGTTATACACATAATCATGTTTGTTATCGGTGGTTTTAAAACATGGACTATATATATTTATAATTATAATATATAATTTTATGAACAACAAAAGATGTGCTAAGAGTCAAATAATAATTTAAATTATGTAGAGTATTAAAAAAGTAGTAGGAACAGAGAAAGGTGCAAGGTATATAAGAAAACAGTCTTTCCTCAAAAAATACCCCGTTTCGTGTCTCGGAAATGGGCCGAACA